ATATTATACGCAAGTAAGATTACAATACATTTGTATCTATTGCGTAACAAGAGTATTTATTCCCCTAATTAAATGCATTTATTGCGTATTCAATTACGCAGTTTCACGCGTCAATCGTCATAAGAAGTTTATTAAATGTGAATCATTGGTGAAAGGATATTATTGGACAGTTCACATGATATACTATAAAGCTTATTGCAAAATAACATTATGCGAATGTTGCATAAATATTCAATATGTAATTGACGAAATTGCAATTATAAAAGAATAAGCTGAATATTCGGTTTTTTTTTTTTTTTTTTGTTGTTGTTGCAATTTTTGCCAATACTTTGCACGTTATTTCATAAATTCTTTATTATTCTTAATATTTAAATTTATAAAATTTGAAATTCGTTCGATCGATTAGCAATGAAAGTCCGATTTACATCCGTCCACTATTACATTCACAACTTATAACTCTAGTTACCCGAAATGCAAGGAATGATCGAGAAATTACCATTACGATGCAGTGGCTAATTGCTAATTGATAGCATTAGCCGTTACCACGACTAGTACGAGCTCCATTATCAAAGTACATTTACATGTCACTACCAATGGCCCTGGACGAGTGCATTATTTAGCAAAACTGTCCACCTCTCACAATCCCACATTGTAACCGATTCTAATAGTTACAAAAGCCTAACATCGTGACAGTAAGCTGCGAAAATCCAGCTTTTTGCAAGAATAATAGAGTCAGGATCGCTGGCATCGCGGGCCGTAATATCGGCGTCACGTCGTTAACGCCAAACGGAGCCAATGCCAATCTTAAAGTCATGAATGTTGATGGTGGTGGTGGTGCACGGGCTCCAAAAGTCATTAGCCACAAGCTGAAATAATCACCGTGAGTCCATTCCACGCTGGAACGGATATAGGAAGTCGCGGCTTCGTGCGAGTCGTGAAAATAAGCGAGGCCTGCGCCCTCGCTCCGTCCACCACCTGGACACGAGTGCGAATATCCTGGCAATTCGCGCCACACCGAATGATTCATGTGAACGGCTTGAGGTAGCCCCGATCACAAGGGCTGCCCATACGTACCGTTGGAATAAGACGATGGGCCGGGACGATAGTTATTTGCACGCGGAGGTAAACAATGGCGCTTTGGGAGTAAAGGATTAGAGGGTGGGTGGATGGTCGCGGCGGGGGGGGGGGGGGGGGAGAGGAATTGTAAGACTTTATGAAAATGTCGTGGAGAGTTGGAGTTTATTATTTAGGCTTTGAGAGGAGGCGCCGGCCTTGGTGATCCGGAATGTTCGTTTCATCGGTCGGTGATAACGAAATTGCCGTGCACTTGAAAACGTTGCCTTGTATGAAATTCTAGTGTCGCCGAAAGTGATGCATCAGGAAAACGTGAAAGGAGTAATAAGACACGAAAGCTCGGTCAACTCGCTGCTCGGATGACCAATGTATTTGCTTTCTCTTTCTTTCTCAAAATCTTTCTCGGAACTTGTTATTCAATTTAGATCGCGATCGAGGGCTAATTGCCCTTATATTATTTCTTAATCGTAAGAGTCAAGTGTACTCGATTAAATTAATAAATTATAGAGAGTGGTCGGTTATTTCGATGCTTTCCTCCAACTCTCACAATTTCCCATTGGTATGCTTCTGCATACGAAAGAACGATGTTTATGGTTTTATTAAATGACGGAAAATTGTTTGTCTAGGTATGTCTCTAAAATTTCAATTTCAATAAAGCGCTTAGATGATTCAAAGGAGCTTTAATGTAATGTATGAAAATTTCACTTCAATGCTTTATTCGCAGTTGCAATTGTTCGTTTCATATTTATAATTTGATATCTCTAAATATTATTCTTATTCTTCATACATTTACCGACATTTTCAAAGTTCAGAAATATTCGCTACTCAGCTATATTTATATCATTATAATAGATGAGAATCGATGAGAAATTATATTTGATTACTTTGAATTATGTATGCACAGTTTATATCGATAATATACTTAATGTCAGGTAGATAACATCTAAATTAATTCGACTAGTAGTTTGGCTACAAATGTCGTTAAAAATTTTAATCCCACGTGTGATTTCAATGACAATTTTTCAATATTCGCCACTCATTATGTACGTAACAAATAGCATGTTTATAATTTCCGTTAATTTTACGAATGACAAAAATAATCTGCAATTTATTTAAATCTTCTACCATAAAATCGCAAATCCAGTGCGTGGCTTGTGAAACTTGGAATGTAATTGGCAATATCATCGGTATATAATAGTGATATGTGCAATCGTTAATCGAGCACCGCAAACGGATACGTACACGTTTCATAAAAATTCTCCTGGTACATTGAGCGGTGGCATATTAGCGAACGACCATGGTAAATTAGATAAGCGGTTCCGACCGGCGAGCGAATGTCTCGCGATAGGTGCTCGGGTAAATTCGAACGTATTGGCTGTTACGCACGCGCGGGGAGTATCGTCGCCTCGTTCGCCCCGAACGCGCGGCCTCGGAGGGAAAGGCGAGGGTGAGTTGCGCACCAAGCGGAACTTGGCATGATTCTCCTCCTGCTGGCGCGGCAGGGAACTCGGGGTCGGAAGGCCTGCCAAGACGGCGATCGAGGAAAAGGGGCTGACCGCCACCCCCTCGGGACGGAGCGCGTGGGCTCCGATGGAAATGCCTTTGTTCGCTGGCCGGAAACGAGGAGCGAAAAGCCATCGGCGCGTGGCTGCGCCCTTCCACGAGCCCGTTATGGCTCCCTGCACCTTTTTAGAAGCTTTTTTTCACTCTTTTTAGGGGAAAATTCGTCATCGTTAGATCAATTGGCATTCTCTTGTAATGTGTCTCGATGTGTACGTTAAAATTGGCGAGGGTGGGGGGAGGGGTGACGACGGCAAGGTTTTACAGTTTTTCCAATTGTTTGTAATTCAGTCGCGTACGTGTAGTTGGTAATTGTGTTCCATGATGGGCAGCGGCGAATAAGGACGTAAATAAAACTTTTGCCAAGGTGGTGATCTGGTCTGTTACCAGTATTATTAAATAAACATTATTTTTTAATTTTATCGTTTGGCGTATGCGTGCGAAGCGACTGTAGCTTCACGTAGAGCTGCGAGTATATTGTAATTTTTCATTTTGTCACTCGTCTTTACAAACAGCCACAGCCAATGCCAAATTTAACAAATTAATCGATAAACTATCCGCACGTTACCCGCTGAAAAAAAAAACAAACCCGTAAAACATTACATTAACTTACTTTATTCGACATATTTTAATGGCTTCATGCATTATATGCTTCTTGGCATATTAACGCATTCCCGATAAAATGATTATTGAGGTAAATAGAGTTTATCCAGATTCAATATCAAATTGATTATTCTAATGCGTAAAAAATAATTCTCTGAATAATGATCGATTTTTCATTTCTATACGAATTTAATACCTTATGCGTAGGCACGCAATTGAATGAAAAAAAAAATAAAAAAAAAATAATAATAATAATAATAATAATGATGACGATAATAAAAAAATTAGACAATGTGGGATTTCTGTAATAATAATTCTTGTTTCGTTGTCTTAATATTTCAATCGTTGAAAATTTGAGTGAGCGACAACGTAGCCTCGTTTAACGGATGAGAATAAAGACGGAAAAGTAGAGCATCGAGGGTAGTAGAATGAGTGCTCGAAATATCGGCTGGAAAATTACGGGCCCCAATTAGCATCCCCTTATTGTGGTAATTGCGATTGCCGACTAAAAGTGCGCCGTCAGGTTGGTCGACAACACATGGTCCTCTGATCCACCTGCGAGGGAAGACTGGTAGTGGTGGCGGCGGTGGCGGCGGTGGCGGCGGTGGCGGCGGTGGCGGCGGTGGCGGCGTCGGCGACGAAAGCGGCGACGATGGTGGTGATGGTGGCGCGAACGGCAGCGACGGCAGCACCTGCCAGGGAAGTTCGCGTCCCCGAGTCAGTCGCTCTTGGAACACACGAGTGTTCACTTCGCGTTCTGCGTCCGTCCTCCAGAGGATCCTTGCTTCCCGGAGAACGCTAGTCTCGGTCGTTAGTACCCTTAATCCGTCTGCGGCTCCCTAAAGTTGACGGGCAGGTGCTGCTGCTCGATAAGGATCTATCAGGTGGGAAATTACTGGCTGCCTCGGTTCCCTCGGATCTCAGACGATAAACAGCTGAACAACTAAAGTATCGAATGACCGGGCGATGGAATTTCGGAAGGTGCTTTGACGGTACGCTGGGAATAGCGCGACTGCATGTAAAAGCTAATTACTAACAACTAATTACTTAACAAACTACTTATTCACTTGCTTTATCAATCACCTTAACTTTCATCTATCTGCTCTAAAATATTGGGAATTTTGGCCGCCTTTCGCTCCAACTCCCATCGGATCTTATCGCCAATTCCCATTCCGTTTCTGTGATTATGTTCGCGCAAGTCTAATGACATTTCGAATGTTTCGCGAAGTATAAGCGTTTCGCTAAACATTTCGCAGTTTCATTTAAGAGCTTTCGCATTCCCCGGCATTTTCCTTAAGCGAACAGATTTGGATTTGTCGATTTTGAATAACGAGGCAAGTCTTGATGAAAATGCCACCACGAGGTTATTAGGGGATAAAAGTAGCGACTAGTCGGGTTCTTCTTCGGGAATCTTTCATTTATTGTAAATTAAATTAAGCCAATGAGCAATGATTCTTAACTGGCGTTCGTATGTCGTAATTTATTATTGTCATAAAGTGATGGCGTCAGGCTCGAAGAGGCCGATAAATAAAACGCGACGAGCGTTAATTCGAGATCCCAAGCATATAATCCCTGAAATTAGCCGTATCGTCGCGATCGAGCCTTTACCCTTTCACAAACAATCCTTTACACGCTAGATTTGGTTATCTTGCCGAGAGCTTGCGAAGTGGGAGGAATGGGAGGAGGAAGTTGATCGAGCCACCGCAAGGACCAATTAATAAATGTCGGATGACTTCTCTGTTTCAGATAAAGGCGAGGTCGTGCGAGCCTGTCATGAAAGATGGTGAGAACGAGGAATGGATTGGCAGCGGCGGTGGCAGCCGCTGAAGAGGAGGCGCGAGCCCTCAGGGAGCAGCTGGACAGGTCGGAGGCGGCGGCTACCGCCGCAGCCGCCGCCGCCCTCGCGGCCGACGCCATGGAGGTCCAGGACTACGGGGTCGAGGCCGAGCTCACGAGCCTCTCTTGGCTCCAGTCCCTCGACATCACGAGTGCCTCCGGGCTCCCAACGCCTCCCTGCTCGCCAACGCCACCCCCGCCCCCACCGCCGCGCCAGCAGCCGAAGAAGATGTCGCCCTTGCTCAAGGCGCAGCTCGGTTGGTTTCTCTTTCGTCTCCTCCACTGCTTTCACTTTCGTCCCATTTGCCAGCCAATGTCCTTCACATCGATATCCCAACTTTTTTGCTTCCACTCACGCCCAACATCTCCTTCCCGATCCTTCTTTCCTGCCTTTTATCTCCGAATGCAGCCGTCCAAAGTAATTCCGATATTTGCAGATCAATAGCTTTCACGTCAGCCTCGGTTCGTCCGTTCATTCACCTAAGTTTGACGTATTTTATAATTGCACTATTAAAACTTTGATCCGATAATTAATTACTGCTAATGTTCGATAAAACTTGCCGCCCGTCAAATAATTTCACCGTTAACATTTAACGATTATTTTTAAATGCCACCGACTTCATATTTTCAAGAGAAAAAACAGTTCTTTTTCGTATATATTCGTATACAAAACGACATTCATAGATTCGCATAAATATAATAAAAAAAACATTTGCACATAAGTATAAGAGAAAAAAAAACAAAAAAAACAAAAAACGAAAATGATGGTAAATTAATTTTGTCATTAATTTCAGTATGATTGAAACACTGAAAGCCCTTATTATTCAATTTTGTATCGCAGGCGCGAATATTATTATTTATTTATTTATTCGATATAATGATAAGATTTTTTAATTAGTATATTATTAATGTAACGGTTATCGATAAAATGTAAATGATGTAAATATTATAATTGTTAGAAATAGTTAAAATCATTTTATATTGTCATGATTTTCATGCACTTCTGCACTTCTTAGATATTAAAAAGCACACATATATATATGCTTCTTTCTTTTTAATTTCTTTCTTTTTAAACTCCCTTGAATACAAATCTTACGTAATGTTAATTAATGCAAGTGTTTTCATATTGTGACGTCTTGTTCATTTGTGTTTAGATCTTGCGGAAAATGGCGAAAAATATCTTACCGATTGCCATAAAAAGCCACCCTATTCCTACGCAACGCTAATATGTTTGGCTATGCGGGCTAACAATAACAAAGTCACTCTGTCAAACATATATGCTTGGATAAGAGAGAACTTCATGTTTTACAAGAATGCTGATCCATCTTGGCAGGTAATGCAAGATTTTAATTTGTAATGCTAACAAAAAGAAAAACAAACAGAATGAAAGGTAAGTTTTGAATTGAAGTTCGCTCAAGCTTCAGTGAGCGACTTCATTCCAAGTAAGAATAAATAGAACATTGTAGGTATTATTCATAAAATATTGAAGTGTCGCGGTACCGGAAGTTGCGATAACCTTTCCTAAGCCGCAGCTATATTAGATAATTAATAAACCACGCCGATCCCATTATTAAATACGAAATTTATCCTGTCTCATCCCGTTCGTTCATGCATCTTCTATATTATTTGCAGAATTCCATCCGGCACAATCTCTCGCTAAACAAGTGTTTTGTAAAGCTGCCCCGGTCGAAGGACGAGCCAGGCAAGGGCGGATTCTGGAAACTCGACCTCGAGCGGCTGGAGGAGGGTAAACGCACGCGGCGTCGCAGTGCTGTCATAAGACGATCGCGATTCCCGCCGAATCGAGGGCCGATAGCGGCTCCGGAATCCAAGCCCAAGGAGGCCACCGATCACCTGGCGAGGATTTTAGGGACGGAGGCCGCATCCGGGCCGAGATGCATCGTCCTTTACGAGACGCCGCCCAATAGCGTCTCGCCGCCGATACCCGACAGTCTGCCCGAGGTGCCTGAGTCCACGCAGGTGCGTATTCCATTATAATCGTATTCCCGGTGTTTCGGCATGACTGTACACACTACAGCTCCAGGGCTTGCACTATGTCGCTTTGGCCGAGAAGAAATGCTTTCTTTGAACAGATGAAAATAGTCGGGTTTCGGTAAAGCTTGTCGTTTTATTTTGATTTTACGATTGAAAGTGTAGGATATCAATTGTAATCGTCACGATAATTTCTATGCATAATTGTCCTGATCGTCTGTCTATAATTTTTTATTGGAAAAATTCAAATATTGCTTACAATTTTATTTCATCAATTTTATATTTTATTTGTGACTTAAAACTCATAATCGGAACTGTTGATTTATGAGGAATATTAAAACAACTTCGCTATTGATTGAAATTTACTTTCACTTCGTTCATCTATTTATCTATATCATCTAGATAAATTTCTAGGTTAATATTTTATTATTAATAACATAATACTGTATACTTTAATGGGTTCTTTAATATATATATATATATATATATATATATATATATTTGTATATTAATCAATGATTTATGGCATTGTACATCTAAATATGTTTATTATTATTTTGCCATTTGATTCGGGTTGTTCAAGCCACTTGCACTAATGTATTAATGTATTAATTAATTTTATCTTATGGTAATCGCTACTTTATTAGTTAAGTAAAATAGTATTCAATATTATCTTATTATATTATTATTTTCATCATTGTTATTGGATTAATTGTGCTTCGATAAAACTCCAATACACCGTTTATTGTTAAAAAATTGAAATTTTAGAATTTTGTTAAGAACATAGTTTTGAATATTTCAAGAGCTTCTCGAGAACATCATTACATATTTCTGCTTCATTTCCTTTCATGCACAAGTAATATTATAATAGAATTCATCGAATAAGTATGAGTATTTACTTAATAACTCTAACTTTGATATCTTCTTGAAATCATACATGATCGTTTCAGATGAAAGTATTTTAAACTCGTTTTATAATTCATTAATAATATAGCGAAATTTTAAAAATCTTATTATCTTATTATAATACATGAGATACGAGATCTCAATTTATTAAAAAAAATGTATAATATTAATAATTATTACTTATTCGTTTCATTATGACTTTATGTAAAAACGCTTAATTCTTTTTTCCTCAATATGGCTGTATTTAAGGTCATTTGAAACGCTTGAAAGTGAAAGTTCGGCGTCAAATTCTTAAAATTCATGCCGAATAATCAAAATATCAAATACTAATTTCGTAGACAATAATAAAAAACTTTATTTAAAATTTATTGTCGAAAGAAAAATTTAAACTGTCTTCACTTACACTTTCATAAAAAAATGCATAAAAATAATTCAATAGAAAATATATCAATAAATGTTTCATTAAAACATCTTATTGAGAATAATTGACTTTTTTTTTATCTGACTTAGGTGAACATCAGCGAGGAAGACTTTACAGATTTACTGATAGAAAGCGCAGCCTGGGACGATGGGGTTGAGAATCAGCTTGCACTTTTAGATTCTGTTCTTGATATGCTTTAACTTTCTCTCTCTCTCTCTCTCTCTCTCTCTCTTCCTCCCTCCTTCCCACCATCACACACTCGCGCAGTATGTTTTTATTACGTTACAAATATGACTCGTTGTTTGTACATTCTGGTATAACATTTGTCATACATGTTTCAAAAATTCTGTAAGTCGATAAGCCCCAGTAAATGAAAACGAATTAATAAGAACGATTAATTAAATGATCAATGACATTAAATTAAATACCGTAAAATCGGCCGTTGATTTGGGCAACAAAGCCAATTATAAAAACCTCATTTTTCAAACTTATCAATACAATTCGATAAGAATATCAAAAAATTTATGCATAATTATAGTTTATTTCAAAATTGTGTATATATTGCAAGAAATTTGGATCAATAGATACATTATTAATAAATGCATATAATAAAAAGTGTTTCGAGTTCTCACGCAATGATAATTTTTGACATTTTTGATATATTAATTAAGGACAGAACGATAAAGAGAATGATAATTTCGAACAAATTTACATAGTTGATTTGCTACAAATTTGCATTGCGTAATACAACTCGTTTTATGTTAACGAATGAATATAATTTTAATATAATTACTTTCGTAATATAATTAAACAATAGTGGAGTTTAATTATTTATTTTCTATTTGTGCCAATAAAATTTTCCTTAAAAGATAATTTATTTTCATTTACTGGAAATTTGAAGAAATGAAAAACCATGTATTTCCTAGACACGAAATTGATTTTAAATTTATAAATATACAAAGCTTGTAATTTATTCATAGAATTGTTTTTGTACAGAGTTTTTAAAAATAGTTGGAACGAGCAAAATATTAATAAAATAATAAGTGTAATTAACAATTTATCTTAAATTTTAATTAATTGGTAATAGAATTTCAGCGTTTTATCGTGTAAATTTAATTTATGAAACAACTTATAGAATATTTTCAATTGGCAATTGAAAATCGAGAACCTATATTAAAAATTATTTTATATTTTGTTATTTATATAAACAATTTATATGTTTACATTGTTATGAAATGTAAAATATTTGCGTTCTAAACATTAAAGTGCGTATTTTCATTTATAAGTTATCGATGAATTTGAAAAAATTTTATTTCTATTATCGAGGGTAAAACCATTTATTATTATAAAATATATGAAATAATTTCATTGTACTATATATAATTAATGAATTTAATTATACAATATTTGATAAACTAGAATTTTTTTCATAATTTAATTATTTATATAATGAAGAATATGAATTAAAGTATACTATTTTTCTTAAATATTCATTAAAAGTATCGCACTTTTAATTAAAATGATTGATACGATTTCAATTAGTTACCAGTAATTATAAAAATACTTTTAAATTGTATAAGGAAAAATTAATTTTAGGCTCTGAAGTGCACAATTATACATACTTTCATATTATAATCACCAACATTTTCGACAAAGCTTAGGTTGATATGTTTGTGAAAAAATGATTTCTAACTTTTTCCTAATAATTAAAAATTGCAACGTTTATCGACAGAAATCTAAGGATGCATTGTAATTAGGAAAATATTATACTAATAAATCATTTGTCGTGAAATACTACGTATTTACGAATAATCGAGAAATCTGGAGATACGTTGATTTTCTTATGCCATCCGATCGTCCAGCTAATAAACTTTTGTAAATAGAGCGAAAATGTCGAATCCAATACTATTAATTGTAAAGTATATAATAAAGTAGCAGTAATGTACGTAAAAGTTAGTTAATAATCGCAAGTGAGTCGACAAGCGCCATAATGCATTTGCGTGTTAAAATCACTGCGCTGAAAAAGACTTATAATGCCTTACAAGAATCCGTCCAAAGATTAGAATTAGTATGCGATGCTCAGCGAATATTTAGAAAATTATTTGCGAGTATAATCGTGTATTTTAAAGTGGAAATATTATGTAATACCTAAACAGCATTCGTACTTTTTCACTAGCATATTAACAGGATATTACATATCGATAGGGTTATTTAATACCTTGTGCATAAATAATCATAGTATCGTTTTATCGATTTATTTATTACCGATTTAGATTGAATAAGATTTAGATGGATTAAGATTGAATTAATTGCTGTATATTATGTCATTTAATGAGAACATAAATTTATAAAAGATAGTCTTGATTTTTGCGAAAAAGTAATATAATATAGATTATTATATTGTTTAAGGGACAAATAGTAAATCGTATCAGCCTAGTATTTAAGTCAGTAATTTAGAATTCAACATACTCAAGGAATAAGTTAAGCGATATTTATCAAAATAAATTTAGATCAAAATAACTTTACAAAATAAGTTACTGACTTATATTACCTATACTACTCAGACTATATATTTTATTTGCATGGGATTAAAACAAATAATACTCAAAATTTTTATTACATTCGTGCGTAGAAAATATTTTGTTTAATAATTCAACTATTGTTTTAAATAAAATTGCACATTTCATATACGAATATAAAACTTCCAAAGTTATCAATACATATTTGGTTATAGTTTATGTATAAATCTATTAGCACTTCATGCGAATTTGTTAGCCATAAGGTTTTTCCGTTTATATTTTAGCTTATTACGTCGAATACTCGATGCATATATATATATATATATATACAAATTACGAATTTTTAAAAAATAAATACAAATAAACACTATCTGATGAATATTCTATATGAGTAATACCAATATATATATATATATATATATATATATATTAATAATTTATGCTTTCATAAAATATAAGATGTGCCTTACAGAATTAAAATTGTTTTTCTGATTTTTGTCGCATTCAATCGAAATATTAAATAGCTGCAATATTTTCTGATTATGAAATCATTTTAACATTTTTAAAGAAACGAGTGGTTTAATGTGTGTGAATTATTTACCAGTCAATTGTATCAATAGTTTGAGGTGTATGGAATAATAAAAATAAAAAGTGTACGCAAAAATATACGTCTCTCGTTTCTGTATTTTACCTACTACCAACAATTTCTGCATATTATTTTTATTATTAGAACTTTTGTTGATTAGACAAATGTAAATATAAATCTAAAATATACATCAAATTATTGAATTTCATTTTAAAAATTATATATATATATATATATATATATATATATATATATATATATATATATATATATATATATGTTCTGTGTGATCATTGAGTAGATTTTAAAATTTGTTTAAATTTTATCAAATAAATGCAAGATAAAAAGCAATTTCTGATACTATATGTACATTTATTTATTATTATTAATTTTTGTTTTCATTATTATACTATTACGCATTTAAACAAAAACATATGGAATTTATCGTTGCGTTAATTTAAAAAATAATAACATTATATTTTATGTAAATTTGATTTTTTCAAATGAGGTATCTTGCAAATAAGCGAAACCTTTTACAAGTATTCATTGAATTTTTAATATTATCGTTAGCATAAATAAAAGTAAAGACTGTTATTTCTTCAATACATAAATTTATTTCAAACAGATAATAACATTCAAATAGTTATATTTTGTATCAATATTAAAAATATAGTACATGTGCCACATTCGAATAAATAAAAGAAAACAATGACCTTACAATGTTCTCGGTCAAAGTATAAAAATATCTTTATTTGCATATTATACAATAAACCCTGAAGTCTCTATAATTATTATCTTTTTTCATAATATATACTCTCATAAAATTCTTATGTCATAAAATAAATAATTTTATTTTCACTTTAGTGATACTTAGTTTTTTTGTATAGTTTTATTACAATTTTTTTTTCACAATTGTACTTCAAAATCTTACTTTGAACTATACTTATGCGCGGTGTGAAAAGCAAAATAAAAATTTCGCTTCTACATGTATTCTGAATTAAGTAATTTTGGAAAACACAAGCATTTATCCATTAATAATTATATAATCATTGTGTAATCGATAATATGTACATAAAAAGCTATGTCTTCGATTTAAAAAACAATTATAAAAATATATGTTTTAGTATGAATAAAACACATAATGGAATGTATTAATCAATAGTTGCACGGCAAACTCATATTTGCCAAAAATTAGAAAAACTTAAGAATATTTTGTACGTGTACAATGAATTTTCTTTGAAAAATACAAAGACAATCTGTAAAAAGGTATGGGAAAATGTCTGTTGGACAAATTAAATACGAAACTTCATTGTAGGCTGACATTATCTCGGTAATAATAATTTAATTATGGGATTTTGCACCAAATTTTTGTGCTATTCAATAATGCATTGATTTTAATCAACAAATAACGTCTTACTTAGATTTAAAGCATACAATCTAAGATGGCGGAAAAAATCCAAAATTTAATCGTAAATTTTCAAGAAACAAGAATGTTAAAATTGTTTGTGGTGCTAAGCGAACAAATGCTGGAACATATCCCTAGAAGAAAAAAAATAAGTATATCAGCATATAACAATAACAATAATAATAATAACAATAATAATAATAATAATAATAATAATAATAATAATAATAATAATAATAATAATAATAATAAGACGAAGAAGAAGAAGAAGAAGAAGAAGAAGAAGAAGAAGAAGAAGAAGAAGAAGAAGAAGAAGAAGAAGAAGAAGAAGAAGAAGAAGAAGAAGAAGAAGAAGAAGAAGAAGAAGAAGAAGAAGAAGAAGAAGAAGAAGAAGAAGAAGAAGAAGAAGAAGAAGAAGAAGAAGAAGAAGAAGAAGAAGAAGAAGAAGAAGAAGAAGAAGAAGAAGAAGAAGAAGAAGAAGAAGAAGAAGAAGAAGAAGAAGAAGAAGAAGAAGAAGAAGAAGAAGAAGAAGAAGAAGAAGAAGAAGAAGAAGAAGAAGAAGAAGAAGAAGAAGAAGAAGAAGAAGAAGAAGAAGAAGAAGAAGAAGAAGAAGAAGAAGAAGAAGAAGAAGAAGAAGAAGAAGAAGAAGAAGAAGAAGAAGAAGAAGAAGAAGAAGAAGAAGAAGAAGAAGAAGAAGAAGAAGAAGAAGAAGAAGAAGAAGAAGAAGAAGAAGAAGAAGAAGAAGAAGAAGAAGAAGAAGAAGAAGAAGAAGAAGAAGAAGAAGAAGAAGAAGAAGAATAATAATAATAATAATATTTAACTTATTATATTCGACAGTTACTTACAAACTATTAGCGATTACATATTTTTCTGTATTCTACAGTTTTATAATTTTATTTTTTTATCTAAATAAAATTTAACTATTATGCGAAAGCAATCATAACAATATTTTATAAAACAACATAAAAATAAACGTGTATTATGCATATTTAAATAATTATAACAAATATAAGCATTGATTGATAATTTTTTTATACTCAATTGTTTTTTATACACTCAATTATATTGAGAGTTAAAACATTTTATTTGAACATTGTATTTAATTTAATCATAATTAAGTAGATTAATAAAGATTTTTAGTTTATTAATTTATAATTCTAATATAGAATAATATACATTTAAAAAATATTTCTTAGAACTATCTAATCTATTATGATAACTATACGATGTTATAAAATTTGTTAAAAAAATAAAATAACAATATACATATTAAGATGCATAGTATAAATGCATATAGATAAAATTTAGTCTATAATTTACCTTGAAAAACCCTAAAGGTCCCATTTTTGCTGTATATAACACAAGATGCATGAAATTCTGTATTACAAGATATATAAAATATTAAAATATAGTTTTACAATAAAATAAATATTAATGAATAAAAAGTATGATGATTACTTTGTACTCGCCAGGTTTAGCGTTCATTGCTCGGGTTTTTAATACGTCGAGAGGTTGCGTCATTGTTGTAGCAATAGCACCCTAAACATATCAATAAATATAATAATCTTAATAGACTGATTAGATAAACAGTATAGTTCAACTTTTAAACAATATAGAAATGTTTGATTGCGAAGCTCTTTCCTTAAATGGAATATAAAAAATATAATGATATTTGCGAGAGAACACTATATTTGACAGTCTAAAATGAACAAAATATAAATAATGTGTTCGACTGATACTGTTGTTAAATTGAAATACACTTCAAAATGAATATATTTTGTAAGATTAATTCATTAATTTCATCAATACCATTATAGTCGGTCATCAATGCCATATTTCAATATATATATAAATATTAATCTTTGATTTTCGCTTATTATTTATATATATTTTAATAGTATTAAAATTTTAGCATTTAATAAAATCAGTAAAGGTTGATAATTGCAAATTGTTATAATAATTATTTATTCAATTTTATGTTTATTAATGAAATTGCTAGATATATTATATTTATATTATTGAAATTTGAATAATCCCCTCCTTAATTGAATAAAAGGCTTATTTTTAATTTTATGTTTTTTTTTTATTTGTTTTTTTTTCTGTTCATTTATTTGATAGAATCAAAGCATAATCACTATTCGTTGAAAGTAAACTATTTTATAAATTCTTCCATAAAATTAAGATTTAATCGGAAATTAAATGTTCTATTTTGAGATTTATTAAGAACAATATTCATTAAGTTATTTATTCATCGATGAAATAGGAAAATGTAAAATATTAATTTTAGATTAAAATTTATGCTACATACAATACTTAATTTTTAATTTATTTGATAAATGTTTAATATATTTAACTTAGCATTAAATTTATTTATATTTAACTGTTAATTTTACTCATTTATTTGTCTAATTCTAACATATCTTCTTTAAATTAAAATACAATTAAAACGGTATAAGAGGAATTATATATATATATATATATATATATATATATATATATATAAAGAAAAGACTTCTTTTACTTATGTCTATTTTTAATATTTGACGTCTCACAACTTCCCACACATCAAATTACATACCAGGGAATTTTTTAAATATTTCAGTCCATAATGAAAAAAATATAAATGAGATCTATGAATATCGTAGTTCATTAATATTTATCATAAATATTTTTAATGTTTAAAAATAATATAAAAATATGTATAATTCAATACGAAAAGGGACTATGCTAGTTATTCACAACGAAAACTCAGTCGATATGTTTTAGATTTAGCAACAAATACATTTTGTAAAATTATTATAAAACTGTAGCATATTGTTCTTTTTTCTTATATACGGATTTCATATTATTAGAATGGACATTAAAGTTTAAATATCGCGGGTTTAAATTATTCACATTCGGCCATTAAAAATATTCTAAATTATATATAATCGAAAGCAGCATTTGTCAGTTAAAAAAACAAAATAAATTAAAATAAATTATTATTATAATGCAATTCAAAATATATAAACGACAGGATACAATCTAATTGGCATATTTAAAATTTGTCGAAATATCGTCATATTAAATTACGAAATCTTTTTTCTTATTTACAGTTTTTGCGTTTTAATATTCGAATAAATATAATTATTTAACGATGTATAATTAATTAGGGGTGAGTCTAATTTTTCTATTTTGAAAATTAAACTTTTCTAGAATTCGGAAAATTAAAAGAGTAGTATTCAAAGGGAAACGTCATGAAGTAAAAAGTTACTGTAGCAACAATGTCTTCTATGTTTTACGTAATTATAATGGAATTTCAGAGGTAAGCCAAATTAATTATCTTTTTTTTTATTCTATTTATTGTTGTTTATAAGTTAGTTTGTTATTTTAAATAAAATTATAACTGATTGAATATCGTATGCAATTATTGAAATGTTAAAAATAATGAATTTCAATGAGCCTTTGGTTATGAATCTGTCATTACATAATTTTTTTAATATAAAAATTTAAAATATGAATGTTTTACTTTTAAGAGTACGATACTTTATAGTTAAATAAAAATATTTTTGAGCAATAATTATGTACTTAATGTAAATTTATATGATTTTACAGTCAAATGACATTTTTCTACATTTGGTCTAATTTTAATTAATATTAGCTTACTAATCTTTTAATGTCCTTTTTTAATTTTGGTTCTAAATAGTAACGAATCTGCGCATAAAATCTAAATTGTAATAAGGTTTTTTCTATGCGTATGTGTGTGCGCGCGCGTGTGTGTTTTGTTGCCATGTTACATTCGTGCTGTCGAATATTCAATTTTTCTATTTAGCTCGTCAAGTAATATACGAGGGTTACGTAATGTAAACGTGACACCAAATCCAACCTGCACACTATAATTATTCAAATTTTGATTATTCTAACCTTAAATAATTTACAATCGAAAGATCTGTTTTATTTTAAAGACATTTTAATGACTTAACAGGGATGAAAATATTACATTAGAATTATATTGAAACTTCAGCTTTATCAGCTTCATCCAACAATAAGATTAAAATAATTTTAATAAATGATTATTTTATATTGCTTTTTAAAAAGTACGTACCGCTAGTAAGCTGGAAAAAAAGTGTGTAGTTGTATTGTCTATGAAGTACTCAGTTTTTATGAGAGATAATTTTATTTGATCGTAAAAACTCAATTGGCCCATTGTCATTAAAACCGCTCTCGCTGTAGCAGTTGTACATCCGTTAAAAAGTGTTTTTATTCCTTCGTCTTTGTATATACGCAAAAGGCCATTTCCAGCCCAAGTATAACTAATCGATAATCAATGATATTTACTAATATGATACTTATATTACTACAAACTTAGTATGTAGAGACATTCAGTATTTAATAGAAAAATAATTATTAAGCGCAAGAAGAAAAAGGCATTATACATGAATTATAAATAAAATTATCATAAATATCTTATAAATGTTTTATAAAAAGCCTTTTAAGCAGTTTCGATATGTCTTTATAATGTATTTATAAGTAATTCGAATTTCATATTAAAAGAAAGTATAAATAAAATTTTTTTTAAATTTAATAAATTGAATTTTTTTCAATCATTTTGTTCATAAATGAAATAGTGTTAGTTTTTAAGAATATTAGGCACTGTTAATTTACTTACTTTCTTCTATTTGCTTTTGGTAACTTGATGTCATTTTGCATTCTTACATTTATTAAATCTCCAGGAGTGCCCACAATACCACCACATGCACCAGAAAATGCAGCTAAGAAAAATTTTTTATAAAATGGGGCTGGATTACCCGGCGACTCGATTGTTTGTTTGCCTACCTAAATTTTATATGTATTGATTAAGATCTTTATAAAGAATATATATATAAAAGAGAACTTAAATGATTAAATGAACTTGCCTCATAAACGCCAAAACGTACAGTAGAGTAGGTGAGTTGTCGTAATAGAGAAGCTGATAGTCCATTATATAGAGCTAGAATTCCTTGTTTCTTTATAATATTCATTGTTAATTTTATAATCGACGAATTTCCCTCTTGTTGCGTTTGTAAATGGACCTTAAGTGCAAACATGCAATACATTAAATTAAATACTTATGATAAAATTGTCTGAAATTAATTACTTAAAAAGAGCATAAAAAATATGTTTTAAAAATTATTCAAATTCAGCTGTTAAAATTTCAATGTCTTAACTGACCATAAATTAAAAATACTATCTGATTATAAATTCACTCTCAATTTCTTAAATAAAAAAAAAAGGAAAAATTTATCAAAACAGGAAAATAGTATTTACAAAGATGTAGAATTAACGATAAAGTTAATTATGTCAACGGTATCATTATACAATCTATTAAACTAATTTTTGTCAAGCGTAATTGATTATATTACAGATATTTTATACCTTTAATAAATCCAAGGGATGAGTGACACAAGCAGCACCAGCAGATGCCAAACCACCAAAATACCATTTTGAAACTTTCAGTGTTTTATTCAATTCTGTCATTTTATAATAATCTTGTCAATCAACTGGATCTAGATTGTACAATAAAAAGTATTTAAAAAGTCCAAACTGGGCATGAAAGATACATATAATGCTGTAAAAATGCTTAACATACGTTTCCTTAACAAATATTCACATTTATGTCACTAAAAATTGTTGAGTCAGCATGTTTGGCTAGATGAAGGCTTTTCTGGTGGTATCTAAGGCCTCTAAATAAAATAGAAAATGATAATTTCATCGATAAAGAATTTTACAGCTAATTAATTTGCAATTTATCGATAAATTTTTCATAGATCATAAGCATAGCGAGATAAACCAATTGTAAAACTGTAAAAAAATAACATTATATTACAAGTGTTATCGCCAATGGGTTTATCTATATCAATTATATAATTTAATTCTCCAATTTAATTATCCACTAAAAATCTTTAGATTATGCTTTAGTATTCGAATAAAATATTAAAAGTAGAAGAATTGTATTATTAAACGAGCAGTTAAATTATGTATGATTAAGTTACGTTTAACGTCCTCCTCAAAGCGCTATCGCACAAAATCCATTTGTAAATAAAGAAAACAAGTAAAAATCTCGAAACTCACGAGTTTTTAGCGCCAGGCGCGATGGGAAAGCGCCACACACAACCTTCGACGTGAACATCTAAGCCCTGACTGATACGAAGGTAGAAGAAGAAGGAGAAATAGGATGGGAGCCCAGTGATTTCGTGATTCGTGGTCCGATTCGTGTTAAATGCCTGCATCTCGGCTAGGCCTACGAGAGCACACATTTCTTTTCTCTTTTTCTTCAACATATTACTTGGGCTTTATTCTCAACTCGATTCAGCTCTCAACGTTTAAATCAACTGTAATTCGTGTACATCCTCTCCTGTGACCTCGTTCTATCGAGAGCAATTTAAATTAATAATGACGTCAATGCATCTAAAAGGTGTGGAGAGGAAAAAAAAAAAAAAAAAAAAAAAAAAACCATTTATAAACCTAATTATTTGTCGACCTTTACAGGCTATTCTATTTGAAAACTTGAATTGCCCATTTTATCCAGGTTTTCTCATCATTCAGAGTTATCGAACAATATTATTATTAAATATTAAACGGCTCTCGCGCAAACAATGTAATGTTAACGAAAAAAAAACTTCTCTTTCATTATTAATAAAAACAATTATATACCTATTCTTTATTTAATCATTTCATTATTTTCTTATTCTTTTCATATTAAATTTATAGATTTCAATCGATTAATAAATATTAATGTCAGAAGACAATTTACAATTTTCAATTTACGCGTGCCTACTCTTAAATGATTTGCAAAATTTTCAAAAGAATGTCTCATTTAAAATTGCCGTGCTGCTATGGAAATAAATTATTTCATTACAATAATATATTCGCTAAAAATTTCCATGTCCGCTTATTTCAGCAACGTTCAATAGCCCACAATGTCGTTATTTACTCCAATCGAGCCTAGTTACTTAACCGATAAGCTGACATTCATAAAAAAAAATTCTCCAATCCATCAGACGTCAATGTACTCGTCCAAATGCACGTAATCATATCAGCGGCATTTGCCTTTTATCACTTTCTAGTAACTCATCTAACAAATCTATAATCTTTATTTTTCTTCCAGTTACCGAACACATAGGCATTAATTGCGCACGCATGCACGCGCATACCCACGCGCTCGCGCCTGCTTATGCGCTTATATATATATATATATATATATATATATGCACGCGAATATGTATGCGCATGCACGTAATATATATGTGCCATACGCACACTTATGCGTAGCCACGCGCTTAGATGCGAGGCTATGGAGTGCTTCTTGCGACATTTGAAAAATTTACATTCTTTTCTACGAGCAGAATTTTAACATTTTTTTATCACAAAATATAATAATTAAACGAATTAAAAATATTTAACATAATTAAGTTTAAATAACTATGAATGATTGAAAAAAAGTGTGAATGAAAGTGATGAAGGGGGAGGGTGATAGAGATAGACGGATTCTTCTAGATAAAGATAGAGCATTAGTCTTCAGTTTCTTTTAATACATTGAGGATTTATTTTTATTTTTCAAATTCAAGCTAACAAGTCGAAAATCAAGACTTCTCTAATTTACCAACTTATGTAATGATAATAGCACGAGAATGTAATATAATAATTTGATAATAACTAATTGAATTTGTATATTATGATAATATAATAATAACTAACTAACGAACAATGCTAAACTATTAATTTTATGTAATTTATGTAAGCACCGGGACAACATAAATCAATCAAAATAATAATGATAAATAATTAATAATCTGAAATATTGACGTGAAAATTACTTTAAACCATTTTAGGCAGATTTTTTATTTTAATTTTTTTTTTTTTTTTAATGTGCACATTATTTGCATTACTAGTCTCAAAAAATAGTTAAATAAAAAAATAAAAAATAGATTCCGTAATTTCTTGACTAAAAATAGAATTTTCTGTACAATTTCATCTTATAAAAAAAAAAAAAAAAAAAAAAAAAAAAAATACCAGAATTCATAAACTTTTCAATTGTGTTTACTTATTTATTAAACATCTTATTTTAATATCATCAGTATAATAAAATTCTCTTATATTTAATTATTAAGACAGAGAATGTAAATTAATTTCAGTAAATATTTCACCTTTTTTAATATTATTCTCTTTGAATTATACTTTGTGCACATTTATAAGTAAACTGTAAATTTTTCTGATACATAAATATTTACTACGCGTAAAAAATTTTATTTACAAAGCTAGTAGGACTTTACAAATTTATTAAATATACAAAATTTTCATAATATTAATAGATTTTTTAATATATTGTATTGCAAGGTTTTGTAAAGAAAGTATGATTTACATCAATTTTTTTCATATGAATTAGAACAAGAAGTATTTTATAGACATAATAATCAATTTGTCTAGTTTCTATAAATATCATACAATAAATCACGTAATTATATCTAAAATAGTATTAAATGCGTTGCAATTATTTATTAATGTACAGGTTTGAATAATTGAATGAAGCAATTTTATAATCACTGATTTATATCACATTGATTTTTCACAATTTCATTTACAATTGGGAAACTTTTAAAAAGTAATTAAAAAAAGTATGAAAAATGAATATAGTAATTTTATTTTTAAAAACAACATAACTTCGTTTGAAAATTCCATTGAAATATTTATTTTATATACGTATGAAAAAATTTTAATACTTGTGCAATTTTATTTGTTTAGGCTTAGTTTTTAGTTGAAAGGCTTAGTTCCTCCTTTTTGCTTATAGAGCATTTAAAAAAAATTCACACATACATATATAAGTATTGTAAAATTTAATTTTCATAAATCAAAGATCTTCCTTTTTTCTTTTTTTTGTTCATTAGGCACAATTACACTTAATACTACTTAGTAGGGCATAAATAGATCGGTTATGCATTAAGTTATTTTTGTTTGTATCCTTAGGCAATGATAGAATGAAAAAGAAATCAGAAATTTCTTACAGAGAAAGATAAAGGCTATGAAATAAATCTATAAATAGTTATATATGATCGTGTGACTCGTCCTTAATATCTTTTTACTGAAATAATTTATAATATAAAATTAAGTTACAAATAATATATTATTCATTTATAGGAATTTATTCGTTGAAATAAAACTTTATTGAAAAATCGAATATTTTAATTATTTTAATAATTAATAATAAATAAAATAAATAAATTTAATAAATAAATAGAAAATTTCTTTGTATAGCGTTTAATTCTAAGAAATTATTATAGCTGGCTAATTATAAAATTTTGTTTATTAAAACGAGGATCAAAACTAATGGAATCGTTTTATTTTCTATAAAACATAAAAATTGTACGTTAATCAAATTTCTCGGATCTTATAACATTTATTCAATTATGCATCGTAGAAGATTAATGAATTCGTGATTATCTTATAAATCATATATTTCTTACTAATACTAAACAACTATATACGACTTTTTAAAATAAATATCCTATAATAAAATATGATATTGAATTAGGAATTTTATTTCAATATTTATGAGAAATACAAGTTACTCTTTTTTTTTTTATTCTCGTATAAAAATATATACGAAGAATATTTTCACTAAATGAACATTTATTCGAATAATTTGATATCGTAGTTTTTCTTAAAAATAAAATAAAAAAAAAAATTGCAAAACCAAAAATCAATTTTTATAAATATATTTTGCTATACAATTTTCTCACAATCTTTGCTATTTTTAAATAATGTTTAATCAAACTTTATAATTTATATTCATGCATTAAAACATGAAAGTAAAAATTTTTCAAATACGCGTTTACTATACTTTGTAAAATAAAAATTTTTAAAAAATATCGTGTTGAATGATTAACATTTTTTTTTTCATATTTTGCAATATATATATATATATATATATATATATACATTGGTTAAGTAACACAAAAAATACAATTTTTGTATGATTCTTTATGTACATAATTATGTAACTATGTGTAGATGAAAAGTGATAAATATTGTCTTGAACAAGTGTCATTATATATTAATTATACCATATATTAATATATAGCAATATATGCGAAAAATTTTATATAATAAAAATGCATCTTAAAATTCCTAATATAAGAGACTTTATCATTTTTTTATTATATCGAGGATTGTATTAAAATCGTTAAAATATTATAAATTAAATAATGTTGATGAGATATTAAAAATTTACAGCATTTTCTATCGCTCCTATTAATTTTAAGAGGTATGCTTAATATTCCAACAATATTCTCTTTAATTATATAATTTATTTGTATATATATATATATATATATATATATATATATATATAGTACTTATAACTAGAAGGAAAATGAATTATATTGAAGTAAATAGAATTTGGATTTATATTTAACAACATTCCACTTTATTGTGTAAAAAGTTCAACAGCATATGTTTTAATAAACACCGAATTCCACAACAATGCATAAAAGAATTGTGAACTATACGTAAAAGAATATTCATCATTTTGTAACTTAATAATATACACTGATGTAGCTTAGATGATAATTTTGCGATGAAGATACAATATTATTAATAGCTGTAATGATTAAATATACAAATTTGTAGAAAAGATACAAAGATTATTTATGAAATGTGCTGCTCCTTTATCGGTCTGCGACTAAATAGCAGCGCCGGTTCTATTTCCAATGCTAAATATATTTAAGTAGTTTCCCATAAAGAATAAAAAGTGCTTTTTTAATGTATTAGCTTTACATAATTACCATTATAAAATTGGTACCCCGTTTCATTAAGTCGCGAGTGAGATTGCAAAAATATACAAACTCTCCATTAATAAAAATAAAAATTAGAAAAACTCAAAATTTACTTAAGCTTCATTTTTCACTACATAAATGATTTTGTGAAACTAAAATAAAATAGTAAACTAATATCTGTTATCTCACTTCGTGCGTACAGACAGTTTTGAGTTTTACCAAAAAGTATCTGTATTTAAATGAAAAAATAAATCATAAATCTTATAAATGAAATATAAAAAATTTATTTTGCTTTGCAAATATAATATTAGTAGGCTAAACCATTTTTACTTAAATATAAGATCAATGATTTATAAATATTTGTATTCATTTTTTATAATAAAATTTCTGTATTAAATAATAACAAAAATACTACGTAACAATTAAGTGATGTGTAAATTAGTCAACAAAAAATTAACGTATAAGCATACAATTATACAACTATTTTTCAAATAATATAGTATAATTTGATAAAAAATTCGAATTTAAATTATCTACATTTTTTAAAAATTATTTAAATAATTGCAAAGTTTTGCTCATATTAGTTTGAACCACTCGGTTATAACACTTCTTAAATCTTTTTTTTCAAATATGTTATTCATAATTTTCATTCATAAAAATAAGAAAATTAGGTGCCTTTGCAAGGCATTTAATTTGTAATAAATTTTTAATAAAACTATCAGCTTTCAAAAAGCCATCATTTGCGATGGTACAGCACAATCACCAACACTCATTCTATGCATTGCCATTTCAGTTATTCCATGGTAATGTACAAAGGCTGCCGCAATTACCAGTACATGGAAGATTTGATGACTTTGGAACTAAAATAAAAACATTATTAAAATTATTTTAACATTAAAAGATAAATTATATATCTATTAAAAAATAATTATAATTTTTTGTAGATTAGTATGAAAAATATTGTAAATTAAAAATATTGTCTTTAAACGAAATGTCTGGCGTAATGTTTGTAGATGATGCAGAATTTCAAGATGAAACGAATCTCGAAATTTATCTATTAATTTTATATATTTAATAAATTACTATGTATTCATATATATATATATATATATATATATATATATATATATATATATATATATATACACACAGACATACGTCGTCATACGTAGTCGCAAAAAGAAAAGAAAGAGGGAGACATATCAAAATCAATAGCAATACATATTTTCTAAATAAGTCTCTTGATACGTTATCTATACGTTATCTATACGTTAGCCATACGTAATACAAAATATATAATCAACAATTTACATTATCATTTACATTATATAATGCATAATAATAATCTACCTCATCCAATAAATAAATTATAATTCAAAAAATCATTCTTCTTTATTTAGATGTTAAAACAGTATTAGAATTATAGCAAATTATAAATTGAATGGTTTAATTTAATCTAACCGTTGTTACCTAAAATATTAAATTTATTATAATATTTTTTAATTGTTAATAAATACTATAAATTTGGCACTTACATTTTAAAATGAAAAAAAAAGAATGATTATTATAACATTTGTATTTGTACTTGTCTGAATTTCTCTTATAATCATATACGAAATCAATATTACGTTTATTTATTTAATACTTGCATTTTACATTACATAAAAATGTATATAATTTAAATTATAAAGCAACATTAAAAAATAATTCTCTAGTCTATGTATTATATATGAAGTTAGGAAAATATGTAATAAAATATTTTCTATTGCTCTATGTACATAATAGTTTTAATCTAAGTAATCACTAAAATTGATAAAGGTGATGTAATTATTTTAAATAAACAAGTCGATATCTCTAGATTATTCTGTCTTGTATTGATTGATTATTCTGTATTATATTGATAATTAATATTAAAAAATTTATTTATTTAGTTCTAAGCATGATTCAAGAAGTCGTTTTATCTATACTTTTATCTATATTTTTATCTATAGCTTTTTATCTATTCATAATAATAAATATCATCGTAAGTATGTATTCTTAAAAGAAAATATTATTTACCCAAATATCGAATTTTCCAGGGAAAAATCTTTCAGGAACACGTAAAGCATAAAACATTGCTCCCAATATGTACAAGCATCCCATCAATATTAACCATCCAAGTGAGGCATGACTTATAGCTTTAAACCAACCTTCAGCAATAGCATAATGTACAGCTGGTATTATCTATAAAATTTTCAATTATTCATTCATACCGATAGAAATAAACTTAATAATACTTTACGAATATTCATTAGTTTAAAAAGAATCATACTCCACTAAGGCCAAAACCCATAAAAACTCCAGCACGAAGAGGTCTATATTTTGGTTCTCCAAATCTTTCCCATAATGAGACTACAATACTAGTTATACCAAGCACAACAACAACTGATAAATAGATCAGCTTCGGTTGATAATCACAGTAGAATCCGTAGTAGAGCCATGGCACGAAACTTCCCATTATAAGCATTGCTATTCCACAGTAGTCTAATTTTGAAAATAATTTTCCTACGCATTCACTATGACAGTGAACTGTATGGAATGCAAAAGACATGCCTAAACATATAATAGCTCCGGCGAAAAAAATACCAATAACTAATTTCTCTTCCCATCTTATGTCCATATGAGATTGTGTCAGGAAGTAAACTGCTATACCAATAAATGCCACGCACCCTGTGAAATAATGAATTTAATGAAGAATTTTTCGATGTAATATTTATTCTCTAAATCTATTTACCTAATAAGTGAGTCCAAATATTCCCTGTTTCGGTGTGAATGCGAAAAATACTTTTGAAGCATGCGTAAAATGATGGTAATGGAGGTCGATGACCAGCATGTAGAAAATCATTGTCTTGTAACCATTTAGGTAAATTTCTGAAATGACATTGCTTCCACGATGCTTCCCAAACCTTTACAATATATATCGTTTAAAGTAGAAATATTTTAAAAAGTAGTTTTTAAGAAATGAAAATTGCTACTAATTGAATTAGAATAAGAAAACAAAGTTATTTAACTAATTTAACGAGTAAGTAGAAATTTTTTACATTTTTTACAATACACACTGTCTCGACATTGCTTACCTTGCGAACAAATTCTTCCGCTTGTTCAGCAGCATTATGCGCTAAGGCTCCAAGATCGATTTCATCGCTCAAGACTCCAGCTTTTAATACTTCTGTCATCTGAAATAAATAATATATATTTTTTTATCTCCATTCAATAGACAATTTGTTTAAATTATATAAGGAGCTTAATAGTTAATTCAACAGTACTTCACAATCCAAAAGACGATCATCTTCTGGAGTGGATGGTAATGGACAACCAACTCCATCTTCTTCTTCAGCTAAACAACTTGTGTCATCATCTTCCAGTAACTCCTTAACTTCGTGCAAACCTGGAATGTCACTATTTAATGAAACTCTATCGCTCCATGGTATTCGATGACGAAGAGTACTCTCTTCTAGAACATTGGATTCGTAATCCTTTTCTTCAATTATATCATTTTCGTGCTCCAACATCTTGCAGTCTTTGATCTGCCCAAGCTTTCAAGTATTTGTTAATACCTAAATAATGTCAATATCATATACGTAAGAAATTAAAAAAATCTTGTTATTGCATAATATAGAAAGCATTGTATTAAAAATATTTTCGATCATTCATTGTTTTTGTTTGAAAGATATTCGTTTCAATTTATAAATATTATAGATACTGCAAAAGTATCTACTAACTTATAAAAAATATTTGTACTTATCTAAAAACAGTTTTCATGCTTTATCAACGTATTAATTAAACATAGATATATATATATTACAATTTTAGACTGAAATTTGATTGAAAATTCTATTCAAGTTTGGACATTTGGGAATATAAGAGACAGCTCATTTTACTTTGTTTCGCAAATGCCTTCTTCGCCTCTTGATTACTTAGAGAAACATCAATTATTTGCTTTAAAAAGAATTTATGAACCAAGCATTATGTAAATAGCTTATGAAATACCAATAGATACGACAACTTCACAATGTGCTAAGAAATTATTTATACTTAAAATTTGTATATATAATAACATTTTAATTATACCTAAGTGCACACGACATATATGCGCGCATGCAAACGTACCACTTTATAAAATCACGCAGTTGCACTTCTTATGTATGCCCACGTTTTTATACAAAGGCACAATGTAAATAATTTTTTAATTCACTTTTAATTTTCTAACATCTAAATATTTTGAAAACCATAAGATAACATTATTCCATTTCGAATTTAATTTATATTATTTCAGTATGCATGCGTAAAGTCACGCACGCACGCACGCACGCACGCACGCTCACGCACACGCACACGTATACAAATATGCATACAAGTATATATATATATATATATATATATATATATATATATGAATTTATGAAAAAACACTTCAATTTATAATTCCAAAATTAGATTAATTTTTAAATGAAAGTATGATCACTTGAATTGAAAAACTACACTTAACTTCATAGCTTCAGAGTCCCCGTAAACGATATGAATTATGCTAAACAAACAAAATAACAAACAATAGCTATTGTGTTATCATAACGAGACTGATGGTTAATACTAAAAAAAAAAACTACTGGAACTGTTGTCAACAAAAGTAAAAATTAACCGTGTAGCTCTTATCAAATAAAATGAACAAAACTTGACTTTTTATTATTTTGCATTACAACAAGTTATCTAATGTTATGAGAGAAACGTACAAAGAAACTTCCAACGACAATTCCATGGATAGACAAGGCTCAACTGAAAGGATAACGTTAACCATGTAGACGACAATTTCATAAGAGCATTAGTCAAACGCTTTTTGACGTATCAAGTGCATGTGTGTTCAGCTCTCTACGCGCGCGCGCGTGTGTGTGCGTATGTATGTCACCTTTAAAGTGACGCAAATTACTAAAAAGAATTAACGGATCAGACGCAAAGCAATGATCACTCTGCATTATTAAATATTTATTTAACGATTCTATCTTACCAGGCCAGTAATCGGCAATTACTATCTTTCATTTGCGAGTTTCGAATGTAATACTGCAATAATAAACACTGCGTATATTATTTTACGCTTAGACGCACAAGTCAAGTTTATACACTTAGTTTACGATGGAAATTCGCGGAAAAGCAACTCGTTTGTGACAGCTGACATGAAAACAAACTGATTCCCGAGGTAAACTATACACCTACAGTACTCTTGGACTTTTGGACCTTGGTAACAAGAATCAAAAGACCTCTGTGAACTTGCTACGCTAAGAGATTAGATTATAGCATTTTACAGTGGCTCTGTAATCACGTTAAAAGCAAGAAAAAAAAAATTATACATTTTTTTGATTATGAAATGTTATTTTATTACAGCTGTACTTAACGTCCGACTCTAGCATTTATATATATATATATATATATATATATATGTATATATATATATGTATTGAACTGTATTATAATTTAAATAATATTTATTAGTTACACATAATCGCTCGATTACAATAAATACAAAATAACGATATTTTGCTCAACAATTAATCTAAATAAACAGGAAACCATTTTAATTAATTTTCTTACTTACGTCACAACAATACGCATGCGCTCTAAAACCGCGATAATTCAAAAATACATACAATGATACTGACATTGCGCGATAGATAAATTGTAATAAATTGGTGTTTATAAGCGTATAAATAATATAATTCGTTATAAATATTTTTAAAAGATTCTGATGTATATATTATTGTGCAGTAAAATAATTAATACAATGTCGATAAAATTTATTTGATAAATTCTATTTTTAATTTGAAAAGAGCTGTGCTATAAAATTGTTTACAAAGAAAATGTTTTTATCTAAATATATATCACTCACATTTATTAATTTATCATATAATTTATTATGATTCGAAATTTATAAGATATTTTAAAAAATAAAAAATAAGCGAACACTATGTTTATATACGATTTTTTTTAATAAGGCGTAGCTTATGTGATGTTCTTTTTATCGAAAAATGCTCATTAGTTACATGACGTTTGAGTTTCAGACTATTGATAACTATCAATCATATTATTTTACTTTATTATAAAAATTTCTTGCTCATATTAATTTTAATCAAAATAATGATAAATAATTAGTAGAATCAACTATTTGACCTAAAGTAAGTAGTTATTGAAATCAATATAATATATAGTAGGTACACTAACTACATAGGCCATGTCATTAATTAAATTAGTCATGCAATACGAGTAATATTTAGAAAGATAAAAAAAAACTGTATACAATAATAGATAGGTCATATTGAACACTCGCTTTAACTTTCAAGATATTTATTATTTTTTAAGTTACATATGTGTAATTTAACTTTAAAATTATTATCAATTTTTTGACAATTTTTGTTAAATAAATTTTTAAATCATTTTTCAATAATAATAACAATAATAATAATAATAATAATAATTAATAATAAATAATAATAATAATAATAATAATTAATAATAAATAATAATAATAATAATTAATAATAACGAAGTTATGAATTAATGGTAATCTTATTTTCCATTGCAACTAAATTTGTTTTGTAAAGTATAATTAAAGTTTTTTAAATAACGTTATTTTAATTTTTTCAATTTTCCTTTAATATCAAACTTTAATGTTTATCAACAAACATTTAATAAATTTAAATGTTCAAAAACGTCATATTACTGGGAAAAATATTCATTAAATATTATTAAATTCAAAAGTATTTTTACTACTCTTCGGTATCGCAAATATAAAACCGAATAAATAAATCAATAGAAACAAATCAGCATGCAATTTATTAAAAAGAATAAAAAAAAGTAACTTTTAAATTTACCATCAAATACTCCTCGCATCATTAAAATTATTCAAAAAAGTATTTCAGCTGTATATGATTAAACCTCTTGTTAAAGAATATAATCGATATACATGCATACATACATATGCATACATATATATATATATATTTTTTTTTTGTATGACGCATATTTCGTTAGTAATTATGTGGCGTGATGCATAAAATAAGAATTCTTCTTGTACGTATATATTTTGCAGTCATAACTTATAAGCTTAAAATGATAATGCATTCACATTGGTGACCTACATAATCTCATCATTCAAAGAACAAACTAGAAGCGATATTGGAATAAGTGGTCCTTACCTTTCATTTTATGTATCGAATTTCTATGAAGAAGTTGTTAGTTGGTAAAGTTGACGACATCGTCGTTCATAAAATGTAGTCAAATGACAATTTCAACATTATTTCATATTATATATTCGTTTATCGTTAATTATAAATATTTATTTCACGAGGAAGTATTTATATTTTAAACATTACAAAAATTAAGAGTTAATTATATTTTGTATCATTTTACATTTACAATGTTATTTATCATATTAATGAAGAATGACACGTAATAATATAGATTTCGAGGAGAAAAATAAATATAGCTAGATCGATGTAGTAAGACATATCTTATCAATATTCATTACAGTTTAAATAAGTTTTCAAAAACCATATCGCAAACATATTAAAATAAAATAATCTTATGAATTGGACAATTGTCAATAATATTGATATTAATGGCGACCGTCGTATAATTTGTATTATTAATTCTATAATAATTATATTGTGGGTAAATATTATATATAATTATACATAAATTGTGTGTATCAAGCTGCTTATGCATACGAGAGCTCCAAGGAATTTAAAATAATGCAGTGGTGTTACTGTAGCGTATTTCACTATATAATCACGTATCACACTACATTAAACATGTAAATTACTAAATTTATAATAAATAATTAAATAATAACAAATGTATTTAATGTGTCAATATAAATGCCATTATTAATATTTGACATTTTTGGATTAAATGAATAGATTTTTGTGAAAAAAATTTCTATTAAAAAAATGAGCCGATCGAATTTCTTAAAAAATCCATTAATCCTTAAAAAATATTAATACTAATTATGCGGATGAATATATTCGTTTGTTATTAACCGAAGATTACATTTTATTTTCTAATGTGTAAAATAAATTTTAACGGCCGAGAACGATGTAGTATTCAATTAAATACAAAGGTAAATAAATTAATATGAGAATTAATTAAACTAAACTAATGGGATTCTATAGATATTGGCATTAGTTTAACGATGGCTCGTGTATTTGCTCTGTAAGTTTAAATTAAATCTTTTCAATGAAACTTTGTTGATAGTTTTCCATTTCCACTCATATAACGAGCAACTAATCAAACTCGCATTTGCGTAAAAATAATCAATTCGAGTCTCATAAATTCCTCAATAGACAATAAACCCTAGGCTGATTATTCAAAAGAGTAATAAGAACAAGAACAACAAGAAAATTCCCCTTAATCGAATCAATCCTTATAAACAATACAATTAGAAAGATTTTTACAAACATTTTAGTGATTTGTATAATCGAGGAGATTTAACATTTTACCATTTTTGTAACTAATAAGGTGAAGTATGTAAAGACCCGTTGCATTCCCCGCCCCCGCCCCCGCCCCCGCCGCCGCCGCCGCCGCCGCCGCCGCCGCCGCCGATGTTGAAAAAGTTACAAGAAAAATGCTCGTTTTCGTCTTCCTAGCCTTTATTTTCACTTTCAATCTTACTTTTACTTAGGATTTTTCTTAACTCTCTATCGCACCTTCGCTATATTCCCAAATAGTCTGTAATAACGTTTGCCTTGTGTCTAAGCATTGATTTTGCAATATACCTCATGTCCCTGATTCCTCTTAATTTTCATTTAAATTTCAGCTGTTCCCCGTCACTGGAGCTTTTCCATTAGACAGTCGCCAATAAATGCATAATGTAATCTTGAAATAGCACGCATGATTTATAAATTATATTAAAAAAAACTAAATAAATAAAAAAAAAAAATTACTTATTATGTATGAATTTGATCGTTAAGCGAATGAACGTTTAACTTACAACATTTTCTCTCTCGTCTCGACTGTAAATTCAATTTGATAACGCAGATCCGCCTTACGTAATAATTCGACGAAACTGATCGATCATTACGTGTATCATCCAATCATCGAGGCGGAGAAATTATTTATCAAGATAAATTCATTCGTCAAATCCAGCTGATATTCCCTCAATTCCTAATCCTTCTCTAATCATCCATTTTTCAAACCTCCTCTTCGTCACAGCAGCATGTCTACCAACTGCACCACCTATCGTCATAAGGAAGCATAGGAAATCCAAAGCTTATCCGCCATTTGCAGACATTACAAATCGGCTTAACCATCCGCTATTTTATAATTTCGGCTGACCTTCGGCATCTCCGGCCTCGTCGACGTGTCATCGAGCATAGTTCGTCTAAACTTTCACACTTGTTGCCTATTTTCTGTCCTTATCACAGACCCCCTTCACAACATCGTGGCCAATACATTGTTAAGGCCATCCCGAGGTGAAAGTCAGATTTGTCGTCTGCAGATCACCAAAAAGAGTAATAAAATGATAGAGAAGATGCAGTGACCTAAAGCCTGACGACGATAGGTATATCGACCTTATTGTGTACATACATTTAATGACAAATAATCCTTATTGTTAAATTGTTGTTAAATCATGTTATATTGTTAATAACAGGTTGGAGTTATCTGGTCGATTAGTGAATATTTTATATTATTTTATAATTGTAACAAAATAGTAATTAACAATGACGCAGAACACAAGTTGGGACGAAGTGAAGAGGCTAGCCCTTGATTTTCAAAAAATGCAACTAAGTTGTGCTTTGTATAGGTAACCATGTTCATTATTTTTTCATTTTATTTTACTTTCATGCTTAATTCGAATTTTACAAGAGAAATTTCTTGTATCCTTAAAACCGTCTACACATATGTCCATGCATGCCTACACGATACACTAGTGCACAACGATAGGCATACACCTAATTATTAATATAATAAATTTTTATCATAAATGCAGTTTCACTCGTGTGAAATACACGCGTAATATGTGCCTAATTTAATGATCTTCAATTATTCTTAAAATGTCATTAAAACAGTATCGTCATTATGATTTATCATTTAAAATTTTATTATTCATTCTTTTCTCTTCTATGGTATATACATAAAATATATACATATTGAAGATTTGTTTTTTCATTCTTTCAACTAATATTAATAATGTTTTCAGATTATCGGAACGGAATTGTATAGAGATCGTAACGAAATTAATCGAGAAGAAGCTTTTAAATGTTATTTTTACAATTGAGGAAAGAGTATATCACACCAGAATATCTAATTACTGAAATTGAGAATAAATTATTCGAACATAATGGTCGTATAACTTTAGTCGAATTATCTAGTATTTTGAATGTCGATTTATCGCTAATAACTAAATTTGCCAGCGATATGGAAAAAAGCAATAAACATATAAAAATAATATTAGACAATTTAATAGATAACAATTATATCTCTAAGATTGCAAAAGAAATTAACAATCAATTATGTAAAGATGGCTTTATTAGTGTTGTGGACTTAATGCTGTATTACGATTTGCCGGCAGATTTTTTACAGTCAGTAATTGAAAAGGAGTTAGGCAAAACTATATTAGGTAAACAGGATGTAGAGGATCCAAGAATTTTTTATAATCAAAATTATATAGCCAGAATTGAAGCAAAAATAAGGGGTGCGCTTTCAGCAATTACAAAACCAACTCAAATTTCCGCAATATTAGGACAATGCTCTATTCCGGAGAAAATATTCTTTGGTAGTTGAATTGTTAATGCACGCAGAGGTTTTTACCAATACAAACCTTTCATTATTAACATTCTTTGTTTTAGCAATTTTGGAGAATCTGCATGAAAAATGTCAAGTTCCAGGTATTATAACTGGCAAACATTGCAGTAATAGTATTTATGTCCCTAGTATATATTCCAAAAGCCAAAACGAATGGGTTGAAAACTTTTATAAGCATAATGGATATCTTGGTAAGATTTTATTACTTTATTTCCCCCAAAAAATCTTAAACATATCGTATTGTTTATATGGTTTTCGTTTTTACATCCGAAATTAATGTACTCATTAATTAATCCTATAATTGCTTATGTTACAGAATATGATGTACTACTAAGGCTGGGTATTTCGGATCCAAAAAATTTTGTAAAACGCCATTTTACAAATAGGGATATAATGCATCTTAGCGCAATATCGATAAATCCCATACTCATTGACCAAGTCGATGTTATTATTGAAGAAGTTATAGCAACTAGATCCTTCACAGACATTAATTCTATCATACCAACAGTTTTTAATCCTAAAGATATTGAATTATTTTTAAAAGAAACGTCTTTAAAAAAGCAATCGCAATCGTCCGTTCACGTTTTTGCATTAACGGTTATTGTATCGGATGTTTATTTGCAAGAGTTACAAAAGCAGTTAGAGCCCTTAGCTAGGGAAAAGGCAGAGGAGATTGTCGTTAGTGGCAAATGGCCTCCGCCTACTAATGAAAGTAAGACAAAATATAAGCATATGGACATCGAAGATAACAAAGTTGATAGAAAAGCTGAAAGGAGAAAAAAGGCATATAGTGGGAAGGCTGGTGGCGGTAGTCAAGGTCGAGAAACAAAAACCAAATCAATTAAGAAGAAGTATAATCAATTTAAAAATCAAGATAATGACTCGGATAATGAGCAGCTTGGCTTAGAGAATGAAAAGGTTGATATGAATTTTTTAAAAATCGATGATATTCAAAAGGAATTAAATAAAGATAAGAACTTAGCGGATATGGATGAATTTACGGATGAATTGTCAATATACTTGTGTCCTCTACTGAATAAGCAGGTTCTACAGATAATGGAACAATTATTACCCAAGCATAAGACAATAGATTTAAGTGAAATTGATAATCATCTGAATGCGTTAATAACCAACATCAAAGTCTTTGATAAGGGAACAAAGTTTGTAGACAAATATACTCAGGAAGCACTGGCAAAATACTTATTGAAAACATTAGTCGTAGATTTTATAACAGAAATCTTCAAATTATGCGCTCGTCAAAATGTGATACAACATTCGCCTAATTTAACGACTGAAACAAGGGAAAAAATACTCCAAGACTTACCTAACGATGTAAAAAAACCACTTGCAAATTTGCATAAAGTTGTTGCAGGAAACAATTTGGAAGATTTTTTTAATGCCGTTGAACCAGCTATGTCTGCCTGTTGTTTAGTTTTAAGGAAATATGATAAAAAAAAAGATAGGTTTATCATTGTTGATCATAGGGAAGCTCTTCTAAAGGAATTAAGTTGTACGCAAGATCCTGCTCTAGTATTACATTTGACAACAATAATACTCTTTATAGCAGCTACGCAAAATACAATCCATATATCTGGGAGACACGTATCATCTATTCTTTCATTTCTGCAGTATTACTTAAAATCCTCGACATCTTCTTCCCTTATAAAATATCACGGTAACAACAACGATACCAACAACAATAACAATAATAATATGAAAAAAAACCAATTAAATGTTTTAAATTAATGATGAATATTTGTTTTAGATTTACTATTAAAATTTCTTAGTTCGTCTAATGCAGCTGATAAAGAAGTATTACAAAAACTCTTACAAGATGATTTGCAGGAAATTAAAACTATTGCTACCGAATATTCGAAGCAACTGAAAACGAATAAAGAAGATGGAAATTCTTAGAGGACAGAAATTGTAATCTCACGTTAAAAAGAAAAATTAAAATGTTATTGTATATTTGCATTTATATCAATTATTTTAAATAGACAATTTTTAATTATATTTGAAATATATTAAAAAAAAAAAACTATGTAATTGGTATTAAAATTCTGTTAAAATTGAAGAAATTATCAACAATATTTTATAAAAATGTGTTATATATTTTAAAATAAAAATCTCATATTATTTTTATAAAATTAAATTATTTATATATCAATGTAAATGTCAATATTCTTTTCTCGATTATGTTAAGATCTCTTTAAATATAAATGACTTTATGCATCTTCATATATTTAGATAATTAAATTATTCATTAATACTAATGAATTTCAGTTTAAATCAATAATTGTATGAAATGATTATAACATTATTATTTAAAGTTACATAAGTTTTTTATGTCCTACATAACTATATATAGATATATATTTCTAGGTCTCTGAAGTATATTCCAGAATTACTGGCATATTTTTTATTCTATAATTTTCATAATATCTAGGATAACAATTCACTTGACTCATTATTTTCCAAATTTTCTTTTTATCAGTGATTATATTTAAATAATACATTTTGCGATTTATGATTTTTAGTTAAATATTATTTTAAGCTTGAAAAATGGCAAAAAAGAGTTTGATAAATTCTATTGATGGCATGGTGAATGAATCTTTAATTGGTTATACTTTAGCATATCCACAACTCGAATTACATTCACCAAGAGTTGTTTTAAAAGCTGGAGTGAGTATATTATTTATTGTAATCATGTATTTTTATTTTTATCAAATATTTTTCAGCATTTTATAAAAAAATTTTATTATATATATATATATATATATATATATATATATATGACATAATGCATATAGATTAAATCTTAGAAAAATACATCAAACATATGATATTCAATTTTGTTTGTAGTAAAGAAGGGAATAAAAAAGCTCAGCCTTATGAAATCAATGTTATTTTAAGGATTTATGCGGTACATTTTGAGATTATGTGAAAGGATTAAAAAAAATTTTTTCTTATTTTAGATGCCAAAGAATAATTAATTACCAATTTCAATATAAGGTCATTGGTTTCAATTTATGCTTGTGTAATGCAAAATATATCATTATATAAAAATTATTATGTTATTTTCAAACTATATTTTTATACAAAATTCAAATTTGTTTTATAAATTTTTGAGGTTATATAGATTTTAGAAATAATAATTGTGTTTATATTATCAGGTCTTTTACCAATGAATGAACATTTATCATTTGCATTTCAAAGGTGAATTTCATTTTCATGAAATTTAACAAGGGGACAAATTAATAATTAATAATTTAATCTGAAGGGAGAAAAATTAAGGATATGTACATTATAATCTTGTATCTATATTAATAATTATGCAGCTTAAATTAATAACTAATTGTCAAAAGATATTTATGCGAAATGAAATTTTGAAAAATTAACAAATTAAAAAGTACGTTTGTAATTCTTATAATTAATTGAAATAAAAATGTAAAATGGTAATTTGATATAAACAAAAATTCCATCCTTATCGGTAATATATTTGACAAAGAATATTTAAGATGTTTTGACAAATTTTATCATTAAAGTAATAAATTCCAAATAAAATACTCATTAAATTTATAAAATCAATTAATAGAATGCAATATAATTGTTTACTATTTAAAATATTTAAAAAATATATTTAAATAATCTTATTAGTGGAATGAATTGGATAACAAAGTAGCGATTGTAAGTGGAGGGGGTAGTGGCCATGAGCCATTTTCAGCAGGTCAGTGATATTTTTTCATTATTAAAATCTTACCTCGTGTAATTTTACTCAAAAATTATGAATATTATTTTATCATTGAGCAGGTTTTGTTGGCGCTGGTATGTTGTCGGCATCAATTTCTGGTTCGGTATTTGCTTCACCACCTTCGGGTCACGTGCTTCATGCAATTAAGTGTGCCTCGGCAAACAATAATAATGGTACACAAAATTCGTTAATTGCAATGAAGAATAATTATAATTTGCACTTAGACGATACATTAATATTTAAAAATATTTATTTCATTTGTAGCTGGATGTCTCGTAATTATCGCTAATTATACGGGAGATTGCTTAAATTTTGGATTAGCTATTGAAAAGGCACTGGGGCAAGGCTTGAAAGTAAATTACACAGTGACTTTATTAATTAATATTTTTCTAATATAAGTTTATCATAAAAGAAGTAGAAGATTAATGCACATGTTGATGATAGTCGGCATCAATCGGTATATGTTAAAGGTTTTGCACAAAAACTATTTTTTATTTTTAAGAATTTTATAATTCTTGCTCGTTGCATATCGTTAAAAAAGTATTACAAATCAATTAACAGATAAAATTTGGATTTTAATTCGTTTTCCACGTACTGTTTAAGGCTGTAAAATTTCGATAAATATGAATAATATTCCCTTAAATTTGAATGCACATTTACATATTTTTCGAATTCGCATTAAATAATCTTTTTTAATGGTTGATTACACCATACGCCTATAAATTTAATTTATGTATAGGTTTATTTATTATAAATGGCAATTTATTATATATTATAATAATTATTAAGCATTTTCTTGATAATATAATTATCTTAATATCGCAAAATAGGGCAAAATATTCAAAATCTTTATCAATATTAAGAAATTTCATGTCCATAATGTGACAAATATTGATTATAGAAAATCATTTTGATATTCGGCATTCATAATAATTAACAAAAATCGACTAACGAAGGAGAGTAATATTTAATTTTTTCTCTTCCATTAATTTTATATTTAAACTTCTAAGAGATATTACAATTTTTATTAAAATTTTTCTCGCCTTAAATAGCGGATTATTTTTATTTTTACATAAAAACAACATTATCTTAAACGTTCAGTTATATATATATATATATATATATATATATATTTATATCAACATAATTTAAGAAAAGTCAGAAAGAAAAAACGAAACAAAACAAGAAGTCTATAATTAAAAATTTCATATATACACACGCGCAGAATAATTAAATTATTAAATATGAGAAAAGTATTTCAATATTTTGAGTTCGATAATATTGGAAATGAAATGCAAAGATAAGGATTGAAAAATATTTTAAAAATACATACGTTTACATTGGATTATACTTTGAAATTCGGTATTTTTCTAGTAAATCATCACCAATGATTTTTTCTTTTTTTTTGTGCAAAATTTTCTCGAGTTTTTACATAAAAATTTAATAATTGATCGTTTTTGTTTATGAACACGATTCATACATACATAATATTAATTAGATGCATTAGTATATTTCATGATTTTATATTTTATATTTTATGATATAGGTTGTGCAAGTTACAGTTGGCGATGATTGTAGTATTCCCGATAATGAATTGGGCAAAGTAGGAAAAAGAGCTTTGCCCGGTATTATATTGGTGATAAAAATTGCGGGAGCTATGGCGCAAAACGGTTACTCTATCGACGAAGTAGCGAAGAATGCTCAATTAATAGCTAATAATACAGCATCGTGTTCAATTGGTTTAACGGCATGCAAAATTCCTGGTAATTGTATTACACATTAACTACATTATGGCTTAATGACGAGTAATTAAGAAATTTTAAGTAAAAATAGCCTTCTTATATTTAATGACTTAGGCGAGGGTCCTATGTTTGAGCTTCCAGACGATGAAATTGAATTTGGCCAGGGCATACATGGTGAAGCGGGATATAAAAGAATAAAATTACAGCCCGTTTCTAAAATTGTATCACTTATGATTAATGTAATCATTAAATCCCTTAAGATTGTCAAAAGAGACTCGGTAGTTATATTAATAAACAATTTTGGTGGGCTGAGTCAATTGGAACAAGGAATTGTTGTAAAAGAGGTCGTTACGCAACTTCGTAAGTTAAAAAATATATATAGTTTATTGAGATATTTTTTAAGATGAAATTCTGATTTTTGAATTTGAATAAGATTTATTTATTTTATTAAAGCGAATAGACGAAAGCAAATATTATTCTAAATTTTTTATCTTTTAAGAGAACAATTCTTCTTATTTGTTATCGTTCGTTGAAAGTTTTATAAAATCGAAAGAAGTATCTTTTAATTATAATGGCAAGGGATTCTTTATTCTTCATATTTATAGTTGCTGATTTATTAAAAATTACTCAATAATATCCTAAATACAAACAATAAATTGGTAAACATTATTAAAATTGCGTTAAAATAATGAAAATGAATATAAATTGTCCAGATGTAGATAAATGATTGGTTAATTAATTTTTTTTTTTTTAAATCTCAAAATTAAATTTAGCAAGAATTTATCATTTTATGTATATGTTTAAAATATAAAAATTAATTTTTTGTACTTGATGAAATAAATATGAATGCTTAACAACATTTCAACTCTTAAGCATCATTCATTATGATCATTTTACATGAAAAATTGAAATGTCAAATATTTAAAAGTACGGAATCATTAAAATTATATAAAAAGCTTAGCTATTTAATAAATCTTTCCATTTAGTGAAATGAATTACTGTGCATGTGGGTGGGGATGGGGGTTAGTAATTTAAATCACATTTTTATGTATATATTATGTGTTATATAATTGGTGGGGATATGATTATATAGTTGGTGGGGATAGGATATATTGCATACTAGGCAATATAAATGAGCATGAAGAAGTAAAAAGTTATAAACTATGTGAAATACGTTAGATACGATTGTGAAAGCATCGGTGAAGTAAAGTAAAAACCTTCGAGCATAATGTATTTTTAGAAAGAATTTCTGGGTCAATAACAAGTTGTAATAAATTTGGAAGAAAAAAAAAAAAAAACCTAAAACATTGGCAAACTACATATTAAATTAAAGTTTATAATTTTATAATGTTATTAAATATGCGAGGGTAAGCTGCAATTACTTAGTAAGAGGCGAGCTAGTTTACAAATAAACTAAATATAAAACAGTAATGAGTAGGTATCGATTGGGTCAAGCAATTTAATTCGACGCACACTGGCAGCGCACAATGTTGCTTCGGTTGGGAAATTATCAATATTTAAAAGCAACAATCAGACGAGCAGGCAGAAAGAAAAGTTTTTCTATTATTGAAGGCAGAAGACGTATGAATAGAAAGTAAAGGATGTGATAAATTGCTCGAATGCTATTGCATCTTTAATTTATCCGGCTAACGAAGCTTTTACTTTCCTTTATATTGCGTATAGATGAGGAAAATTCATGATTAGTAATAGAAAAGCAGTGAAAGCGGCTTTGTCAATAATGGTAACGATACATTAATTTGAATAAGGATTACCTCGTCCCATTTGCAAATATATTGCAGATTATGATTGGATTGAATATGAGGAAGTAGTAGGGGTAGAGTCCAGTTATCAGGATACAACATTAGTTTATTTTACGAGCTATGGTCCTGGAGATATGAGACATCTTTCTCACTCATATTCTATCATTTGTATGCTAACACTCCTCTACGCTGATTGTCATTATTGAAATTTTTCTTTATCATAAGAAAAGTAGCTATTTGCGTTTAATCATTGGTATTTATTGCGATTATAATAATGTCAAATCATTCGTTCACTGGTCATTGTGTTAAAATTTAAATACGACATACGTTGATATTCTATTAAAATGAATATGCAACAGTTTCACATGTTAAACAAAATGTAGAATGTATCACCATTAAAACATTAAAACATTCTAATACACATAGCTACTTGACGTACATTATTAATTTAATTAATAAATAGTTTTTTTTTCTTTTTCTTAATTAATATATAAATTTATTTTTAGTTTTATTGTATTATTTATTAAATGATATACTTTTTTTCACGCAAGTTTTCATTAAATATATAGTAGCATTAATGTTATACTAATATTAGCCATTGGGTAATATATAAATAATATTTTTATTATTTAAAATATTTGTTCCAAATAATTTTCAATATTTTTGATATTCTTATACTTACTTTTTTTATATTCTCATATATTTTTTATTATTCTTATTTATTCTTATTTTTTATATAAAAACTATACCTCGCATTATAAATTCCTTTTTTTTTTATATGTCTCTTACATAAAAATTTAAGTATTATGAAGTATAAGGGCGATAATGTTAATTCAAAGTAAAAAGAATTTTTGTAATTCAAATCAATACTTACCATACTTAGTATGTATTATCGAATGCTTAATTGCAAAAATATATATACAGAATCTGTTTTTCCAACTATTTATTTACCAATACTCTAATTAATCATAAATACTTTTCTGAGTAATAAGATCGTAAGGGTATCATATATAGTAATGTCGCGTATTTTAAAGAGACTCGAGGTAAATTTTTTTTCTCCTAAAAATTTTAGGGAACAAATTTTTAAATATTTACGTCAACTCGCGGGGTTTTTAATAAAGGCCATTGAAATATTTTAACAGATGCTTGAAGAGCTTAAAAGATAATGAGCTTTACATAATTCGCTTTCTTTTGTAGTTATGGCTGCCACATGGAGCAAATTTTAGTATTAATTCGTATGCCCGGGACGTTCAGAGCAATAGATAGCGGACATTAATTAAAAACTTATAACGCAGCCATTTTAATTAGAAATGAAGTTTCGAAAAATTTGAAGATCCACGCATTTTTATTAAACATAAAATATTTGTTCGTAATAGAACATGATATTAATGGACTTTATTTTAATGCATTAGCGAATTTCAGAATTTAATAAGAAATCGGAAAATTTATTGACAGAAGATATCTATACTTTTTTAATGTTCCGATGCGATTGAAAATACTCAAAGTAGTCTATATTTTTTACTATTTTTATTATTAAAATTTCGAGTATTTTTAATAATATTTTTACAATGATTCTTATTTATTATATATCAAAGAAATTTGAGTGATATATATTTTTCTAATACACTAAATGAGAAAACTAAAATAAAGATTGAATGGTCTGCGATTAATGATTTGATTAATGAATAAATTTCATATAATTTCATACAATTTTATATAGAGAAAATGGAAATAATTCCTGTTCGAGTTTATTCCGGACTCCTAATGACATCTTTAGACAGTGCAGGCGTGCATCTATCTATTCTGAAGCTTCCGGAAAATGATATAAAGTCAATTTTATATTTTCTTGACGAAAAAACAGAAGCTCCTGGATGGCCAGGTTGTTCTTATAGTATTGCACTCTCGAATCATCAAGATATAATGATCGTGCAGGAAAAAATGAGTCAAATGAAGGTTGGACCATCATTAAATAATTACCAGGAGCAACTATTAAGGGCCTGTTTGCAAAAAAGTTGTAAAGCAATTATTGAGAAAGAACGGAGTATTAATGAGTTAGATAGCGGTTGCGGTGACGGGGATTGCGGTACAACACTTAAAAATCTTGGCGAAGGTAATTTATAATATCAATTTTGTTAATGTAAAATTTCTTTTTAAGCATTATTATCTATAATTAAATTGAGATAATTTTATAATAATGAACAAAAAAAAAAAAAGAAAAAAAAAAAAAAAAAAAAAAAAAAAAAAAAATTATTTATTTCTTCAGAGAAACTATTTTAATTTTAAACATTCCCATTACTTCCATTGCTACTCTTAAAAACACAAAATAAATTAATTTATCCAATAACTTAATTCACTCTCTCATATAAATATTTATATTTTAATTAATTGACTGAATTGTCAAGTACAACGATAATACGAAGTGTGAGAGACATTACTGTCGAATAAACCATTTCTATTTGTAATTGTTTGCTTGTGCATTACTTTGAGCTTATTATGTTATTATTAATAATAACAACAACTAGTGCAAATATAAATTTGATGTGATTGCTCAAGCATTTGTTATAAATATTAAATCATTTATTTATTCGTCGATTCACGTACCGAAGTATTCTACACATATTATGAAGATAAATCTAAATCTACATGTCGAATTAAATAAATTGCAGGTATGCTATAAGAATGATAATGTTTCGAAACTAATGAACAATATAAAATAGAATTCCCTATTTGTTAAAATCATTAATATTGGACAACTTGGTGGTCGATAATGTGGATAAGATTTTGCATTAATTCCTTGGAACATAGGGTCCGATATACGAATCAATCCACTTTTCATAAAGTTGTCTGAAAAGAAAATTTATTTTATTTTGATAATACATTTGAATGTAATAATGCAAGAGATTTATATTGAAATCAATCGGGAATACCAATGTCATGATAATTAAATAGGACTTTTTCGTTCTTCTCAGGAGTGCTAGCGGCAATTGATAAATTAATCGTATCTCACCCATCCTCGTTAATGTCCGAGTTAGCGAATATTGCTGAAGAACGAATGGGAGGTACATCGGGTGCTCTATACAGTTTGATGTTCACAGCCGCCGGGTCTGCTTTGTCTAATAGTGATAATACGGAAAGTTGGCTTGAAATTTGGGCTCGAGCTTGGCGTGCAGGAATTAATGGCATTATGAAATATAGTAAAGCTGTACCAGGAGATAAAACAATGGTGAGCTGAATAATAAAATGGCTAATAATGAATAATAAAATAAAATTCATAACGAAAATCATGATATTAAATATGATGGAAAAAAAAATAAGTTCATATCGCCGAATCCTTTGTTGTTAAAGCGCTTATTTTAAAATATGTTCATGGCAATGAACTCGTATTCATTCGCAGCGAGCGTTTTTAATATTATAAATACTAATGGTATAGTAAGTATTTTTAATGGTAATGTGTAATCTATTAGTGCATGCATTTATTCGTCAATCAATTCATTGATTACATACACACGCGTGTATGCGTAAGAATTCATGTTGTGCGCAATGGTAATTACGCGAATGTAATTTAATTTACGGTGCTAAAATACATTTGCAGATTGACGTTTTATATCCTTCGTTAAATGAGCTGGAAAAGGACTTAACGCTTCCTTATAAAAAAGCGGCAGTGCAAGTGGCCAAAGTGGCTACCAAATCGGCCGAGGAAACGAAAAATATGATTCCCAAGTAATTAAAAAATTTCCACACCTACGTACGGGTGCAAAACTATTTTAATTAATACGCTTTATCGTTTATTTTTAGGATTGGGCGAGCGAGTTACGTAAAACAAGGAGAATATTTAAAAAATATCGACGCAGGAGCCTTCGCTGTCTCCATTTGGATAAATTCTATAACAGAGTGCTTATAAAATCTTTAAGATGTCTAAAATTTTAAGCATTACATTACACAATAAACGCCACAAGTCAATGCTTCATTTAAAATCATAGTCTTTTATTTACGAAAATCTAAGTACATATAAATTATGAGAATACATACACAATCTATAAGATGCAATTTTCCTACACTTACTTTTATAATTACAATTATGAGGAAGTGTACTCGTTTATAATTGAATTTGAAAGAAAACGTATACAGATGTTGGTTTGATTCTTAAATTGCATTGGCATAAGGAAATGCAGGAATTCTTTTCTATTCTTTTTTATTTTTACATATTCCAAAGTGAATCGAACAATACATGATTTTTTTCTTCTTCTTCTATAAGTAATGTGTATAAGCGTTTTTAAACGGAACAAAAATCCGTAATACTGTCGCGGCAATTAGGCTGCGACATCATTTAAAACAGTGGCGTACGACATACCACTTTTCATAAACCTACATATGCATAAAATGTACATTTACATATTAAATATCACAATCTATGATGAGAAGTCATAACTTTGTAATGTTCGACGTGACATTCCCTCAAAAGCACACGCGCGCATACGCACACATACTGAATTCAATAACCCATCCAAAACTAATATTTGAGATGAATAATGCAGACTTGGTAATAAAAAAGAACTTATTAAAAAATTTTTGTATAAATAGATGAACATTAATACTGATTATTAAACATCTCACGGTAATTTTTCTTTCTTTCTTTCTTTCTTTCTTTCTTTCGTTCTTTCTTTCTTCCTTTCTTCCTTTCGTTCATTCTTTCGTTCTTTCGCTCGTTCTTTCGCTCGTTCTTTCTTTATAAATATCGATGAGTTTTTCAAATAGAAACAATGCATAATAATTATATAGAGTATGTTAAAAATATATTTTTAACAATTACCTTACCAAAAAGGAATTTCGTAAAACGAAGTCGATTTTTCAATTGCCTTGAACAATAACAATTCTTCATTATTCCTTATATTGGGTGTTTTTCATTGCTTTTTGTTTCTTTTGTTTTTGTTTTATATGGAACAGGTTATTTGTGATTATACGATTAATTTATGAGTAATTACGCAAACGCGTGTAGATGATTTATTACAATTCCTAAACTGTCAGTATTGTCGTTAACACGTGTTATTATTACATATTTCTTAGAGCTTCGATATTACTTTTTTTGGGTTTCGCTTTTTCTTCATTTTTTCAGTTTCTTACGTTTATATATAAGATTATATACGATTTACATTATCAATTGTTTGTGTAATCTTAATTTACTTTAAGTTTTAATACTTTTAGGCATTTTTTTCCCCAACTGATTGTTAATTTTTTTTCGAAATAATTATTTGCGATTTATCGTTGACAAATTAAAAATTTTGCAGTTATTCACACGAGCTGATTGAATTATTTAAATAATTCACCGTTTTCAAATGTAAATTTTGTGCAATGTTACATGTTAATATATATGTCTTAAATAACTTATATAATCACATATTGTAAGTAATTTCAAATAATTGGTTAGTGATTTTTATTATAAGTAAAATAAGAAGTTGCCTCTCATGTACTTCTCGTCACAATTAATTTACCGGTGGACGTACCGCGCATGACTGGTTATATTAGTCGATATTGGGTATTACAAAACAGGAGGATAGGAAGTTGACCTCAAATAACAATATCTCTCATCACTGCAGATATTTGACAATTATCATAAGTAGTCTCATAATAATCGATCGCAATCGTGGAATAATAAAGATGGTTGTCCTCGAATACCAAGTTAGTGAGTAGAAATAAGATACACGTCCGTGAAATATACACCCGTGAGTGACGTATATAAATAATGAAGGATCAAGAGTATAGGTAAAGGTTAAAGTATAAAAATTTACGAAAACTCGTCTTTCATCGAGTTAATTAAAAGAATATGCAGCCCGAAATGTCGTATATTGTACTTTTACATGCGATCAATGCTCTATTGTATACTTTTGAAATCGATTTAGTGATTAACAAATTTGATCGTCTCCAAAGACTGATAGGATATTTCTGATAGTAACGAAGAGTCCAATATTAACACCGTAAATATTATACAGTTAATATGTTAAAAATTAATATATATATATATATATATATATATATATATATATTATTTATGGATAAAGCAGTCATTGCTTGTCAATTAATTAATTATCAGGGATGCTATTTAGGCCCATTAGTTCCCTTCGATGTACCAATTATTAGAATTAGAACAACCAAAAATGTCATCGAAATTGAACTATCCTATTATTCTTGAGTAGATTATTGGTAAAATTATAATTGTTTAACCCGTATCAGACATTTTAAGGCCTTGGATGCTCCTCTTATGGCATTATTAGCAAGAAAATCTATACTCCAAGATAGAGTATATGATAGATATAGTAATATAATATTATATATTATGGAGCTCGGTGATTCAATATCGAACAAGTAGATAATTAAAGATAAATAATCTTCAAATTTTAATCTAGTCGGCACATTGCTTTAAAACGTCAGTTTTCATATTTCATTTATGGAGACCACACATGCCAAGAACAATGAGACCAAGATTTTATCTTCTTCATTTATTGTGTATTCCAATCGTGCTAAAATTTGCATGTAGCGCTCGATAATATCGCGCGTATCAAAATTGGAAAGTTATTGTTTTGCTATTGGAGACAAATTGAAATAATCGCGGTTTGTTCTAACAAACATTTTAAAATATTCTCGTATTTTCCTTCCGAGTAAACCCGATAGCACAAGATATCTTCAATAACAATGACTGCCGACTTGAAATTGATCAACTAAAAATTAACAACATTCGGTATATAAAGCTCATTTGCTCTGGATCAACAATTATTCTCAATGCGAACTCAATGGTAATCTTTTCGGATTAAAAATAATCTTACTTTTTCATTTTCTGACGATGGAATGAGTTTTGCAATTTTAGCTTCAGCCCTGTCATACACCATAATATGTAAGCTTTATTCTGATATTGCCTTAACAGACTTTTGAAATCATATCCCTGAGATGTGTGGGGTTACAGTTCTAGTTTTTGTGATTTAATTGTGTAAGACGAGAGCTTCACATAGTATGTGACGCTACACGCATTTCTATGCGTAAACTTTTTGTTATATCTACATGGTTTTTTATTATTTTTTTTTTTTTTTTTTTTTTTAATTTTATCATGGAAAAGATAATTTCTTATTTTAAACATTAACAGATGGATAATACATTATTTGAAATTAATTTCAACGTGTGGTTCTATAAAATTCTCATTTGGATCTATAAATTTATCATTACGTAAAATACAAAAATTATTTATATACAATTATGAAACGAAATATTTTCATTCAACCGCGAGTTTTTACGCAATTTCCTTTTTGAGTCGTATTTTTTAAATTATGTATAAACAAAAATTATAACAATCGAATTATTTGTGACTTTTAAATTTATACTTTCATAATATATATAAATATAAATATATATATATATATATATGCAGACATACAGACATACAGACACACTTGCACACATACCTACATGCATACACGCACGCACATGCACACTCGCATATACATATTAGCATAAAATAAAAAAAATGGAATTTTGATATTTAGTGTACGTAAAATTTTATTACATTTTATTAAATAATTCATAAGACTTTAAAAACACAAAAAAAATTAAGTTTTTAAACTTTTTTTATTGTAAAAATTGAAAGAAAGAGCACGTAAATATATTGTTTTAAGCTTATTAAGACATTTGAAACGTAATAAATCAATAAAAGCAATTTTTAATATTAGCGTAAAAAGTATAATTTAATTAATTGAAAGTCTACTAAAATCAATTCCTTAAGTTATTAAAAATTGAATATATACAGTTATAAATCTACAGTTCGTTAATTAAGCAAACTCAACGACTAAATGCATTCTTTAACTTATAAACGTGAGATCAGCCTTATGGGGCTAATGTTAATTTATTGAATTGTGAAATACCAAAATAAATTAAGGAAGCGTAGAAAATGAATATTTTAAGTATTGATACGTAGTGTTAATTTTTCAAGCCAATTTAAAAGAAATTACCACAGTTTGTAGTGCTCAGACTTAATTGTTTCAGTTCTTGAACATAGACGTTCGCCTTGCCATGCATTGTGGTGAAAGAATTTGTTTGTTATTGGACATAAAAAATAAAAAAAAATTAAACAAATTATAAAAAAAAAAAACGAAAACAAAAACCCAACTTATTCTAGATGAAGAAATGATAAAAAAATAAATAATTCGATGCTCTATCTAATTAAGTATTGGATACTTTGGAGAGTTAAAATAAAAATCTCAGGTATCAGGTTTGGTGCCTCGATCCATGGCATAATTTACACATTTTCTTTTTTATAGAAGTATATGTATAATGATGGGCACCGATTGGCTGAAAAATCTTTGTGAGTAGAATTCCTATATAATGTATCACTCTCTCTCTCTCTCTCTCTCTCTCTCTCTCTCTCTCTCATGCTTTCTTTCACGCTCGGGCGCGTACACACGCGTGGACGCATACATTCGCACAACCATATGCGTAAGCATACGTAGATAAATGAAAGTTACGCAAAATTATGTATCCCTTCTCGACAGGCTGTTGACATAAAATAATTAACAAATAAAACGAGAGGTAGGTAAGTGCCCGAGAAAAAGAATAAAAAAATTATATACACATTCTGATGCAATGTAACGCGTACTCTATGCGGACTCAGTTCTGGGAAAGTTTGGATCTGATTTCGTTGGATGTATATATATATGATAAAGTGGCGTTAAAAGTCAGGTGAAAGGTGAAGGTGCTCATTCCCATGAGCAGAAGGTGACAAGTATTGGCAGAAATGGATTATCAATCGGGCGAAGCTAAATAGTCGGCTACGAAAGGCCAATACGAGTTAAATGATAAATTAACGTTAATAATTCGCCACTCCGCCAGAAAAATCGTATATAATCAAAGACAGGGGTGAACAATTTTGTTTTCCCGGGTTTGGAAGGTGGCGCGCAGTGTCCTCAGCCTGGAGTGGGCAGAGCGTTGTGTCAGTGAATATTGAAGTTGTACTGCTTACGGCTAGAAGTGATGCGCAACCACCTACTTACGGCAAGGGGCTCGGGGTGGCAGCTCGACCAGGATATGTCGTTGAAGTTCGCGTAGGGTGTGGAGGCGGCGGTAGCCTCGAGCTGTATCGCGGTCGAGTACTCCTGGGGGAATTCGTGCTTCGGCCTGCCGAGCTGGGCGTGATGGCCGCCGATGCGCTTACCGTTGGTCATCGCGTGGCTGGCGGTCCGCGCGGCATCCTGAGTCGCGTGATGCTGGTGGTGATGGTGGTGGTGATGGTGATGATGGTGGTGGTGATGCTCGAGGCCCGAGTCGAAGAGGCTCGGATAGCTGCTCGGTATCGGCGACTGGGACATCATGCTCGCGCGCGATATCTGGACGGTGACCTGGGATTTGTCTTTGTACGCGGGCGAGGAGGCGTACATGGCTAGGCTCTGGCCGGCGTCGATCTCGAGGGGCGCGGTTTTGGCCTCGAGGGCGAGGCTCGTCGATGCCGGGCCGGACTGGTGGCTGACCGGGAGAAGTGCCGGCGCCACCGAGCCCGAGACCGGCGACTGTTTGCTCATGCCCATGTGCTCGACGCCGAGGGGCGAGGACGAGCCGGGGCCGCGATTGTACTGGAAGAGGGAGGCCTGGGGCGACATGCCGCCCGTCGCTATGGGCGAGAGCGAGGGCAGGACCACGGAGATGGGTGCCATAGTGGAGGCGCCATTGCCGGTTACGGTACCAGTGCCGTTGTTGCTCCCACCGCCAATGGCGCTGCCCCCGACGTTTATGCCACTGTTGACACCGCCGACAACGCCACCGCTGCCCACGCCACCGCCGCCTCCGGCTCCACCACCGCCGACGCCCCCGACGCCGCTCACCACCGACGACTCGATTCTTCCATTAGATTCCAGCTCGTTGGCAAAGTCCTCTTCCAGTTTCGTCTAAAAAATACAAGAAAATTTTTGATAATGGAGATTGAGAGAGCCTTCATTTGATAACGATTGCGAGAACTCAAAGAAACCATGCCTTACAGGTTTATTGGAGCCATGCGGGGCCAGACATCGATAAAGCAAATCAACAGCCTGTAATAATAAAAAAGAAAAAACACGTATCAACCAAAAGCCTTTTCTCGTATACTCTTGGATTGAATCCTTTGGCTCATGAGAGATAACTCGAAGATCATTTAATTATTTATTAATATAAACATCTTCCCAGGAAAAATATGAGAAAAAAATATGAAAAATATTATTCTTTCATAGCAATTTGTGAATAATTATCATTCAAATCATTAATACCAAGTCTAATCTCAAACTATTTACGAAGATAAATCCTTTTATAGTTTTTGTTTTTTGTTTTTTGTTTTTGTTTTTACTTTATAATCAAACGTCAAAAGATCTGTTTTCATTAATTTTTAAGTTTTTATAAAAACGTTATCCATGAAAGCTGAGTAAAAATTATTGAGACGCAAATTAAGCTTTAGTACACTTCGAAGCCTTAATAATTTTTTTTTTTTTTTTACCGACTAACTAAATTATCACAAATACGAAGAGAACAGAGTTTTATTATATTAATGGTATAACACTAAGTGAAACTCAAAATTTAAAATATAATTTTCAACAAGTATGGTTTTCGAGAGACTTCTAAAGTTACAATAGTCGTTAGGATTGTGTAGAGTATATTTGATAAAACAATTTCTCTGTTAACTTAATGCAGTATTATTTTAAATTCTTAATTTGTTTGATGATAAAAAGCAGTAGTACACGCGTAATCTTCCGAATTAAAAACGAACTGTTAAAAACATAGTCTTCGAAATTGTGTGTGTACAAATCAAAATTTTATATAATCAATAAGGACCGAAGTACAGATTTGTTTTATTTTATTTAATTTTCATGTTGAAAAAAATGCTTTCGTGTAGGTAGAATTTATAATTTAATTAATATCATACTGTGTATGTAAATTGAAGGTAATAAAATATATCATTTTTATAAAGATCCATCAATAGGTAATTCATATAAATTAATTATATAAATCAAAAGATAATAATTATTAAGGAAATGACGAATGTATGAAGAACAACTTTTGTATTATTTTCACAATATTAGGATGAAATTCTTGAAATTCATAAAATGACGATCTTATCGAGAGTAATAAATGAGAAATATGTATTGCAGTAATATAATAATTTTACACTTAAAAAATAAACTTTTAATAAATTGGTGTAGTTATAATAATTTTTATTATTAATATTCACAGCTGGCATTTCATTTACTATATCTAGGAATTGATAGGAGTTTTATTATTATTATTATTATTATGCTTTATAAGCCTTCAACGGTATTTTACTATCACAAATCGACACCAAATATACTTTCCAATCGAAAATTAATCAAATAAGCAAAATAAAAATAAAAAAAAATTTATTTTTATAGAATTTAGATAAACATGCAAATTATATATTAACTGAATATATTTTAATAAAGAATGCTAAACATAAATAAGACAACGTACGATATAAACACATTTTTCTTACTCCTTCAATATGTACAATTGAATTCATGGCTTCTTCAAACGGACAAAGCTAAATTGAAAGATAAAAAAAGGTCAAGACTCCTACAAATAATTTAACTCTAAAATCTGATGTATAGCATTCAAGTATTTATTATTATGTATTGTATGGCTTTATGGTAAATAAAAAAAAAAATAATAATAATAAAAAAAAAAAACTCTTTCTTAGCAACACGACATATTTGTTTAAAATAATTTTTAAAAACCATGGTGGCCACTGAATTTATGAATTTATTTTTAAACGTTCTGAATGTTTATTTATATTTTAATTTCAAAGGTCTTGGCACAATGTGCAATCCGATATGAAACATAGCTTAGGGCAAATATTCATAAAATTGCGTCGTTTAACTAGTTGAAATTAAGTAATTAAATAATATCAATATTTATTTATATATATATATATATATATATATATATATATATATATATATATATATATATATATATATGACTTTTTAAATCAATTTTTCAATCTAATGGTTGGATTATTGCATAATAGGTAAGGTAATCGATGAATAAACTTGAAGGGCATCATTTAATAAAGCTCTTTGTGTTAAGAATTCAAAATGTACTTTCCGAAACAAAAGAGAAACGGTGAAAATTTTCGATAATATCATCTAACTCTGAAAATATTCATACAAATGCCAACGACGATAAGAAAAAACAGCCAGGCTTCACAACATTGTTTGCAATTGTTATCTTAAAATTCATGATTTTTGGGCATTTTATTTAGATTAGTGATATGTACGCTTCCGTACTATTTTCAAACTATCAGTACAATATACAAGTTTCAAGAATTTATTGAATTACCTATGTATACATTTACATGATCATTAATGCTTTATTTCGAAAAACATTAATACTTTTAAAATCTAATTAAATTAGAGACGATCGTTATTATAATTATGAAAGTTGTAGCGATCTTGACAATAAATCCAAAAACGTAAGCGACTGCTTTCGAGGAATGCAATATTTCAAATTTTATCGACTGAACAAGTTTTTTCCTTATTTTAAAATTGGCCCAAATGATATATATATATATATATATATATATATGCATATGCATATATACATAATGGTTATATAGTTTCTGCATTACTTTTTAGACATAAATTCAAGTAGAAAAATCCTCAAGTCTAACGATGCGTCACTTTTAAAAACTCACAATACTGCAATACAGGCGACAATTGTAAAAGAAAAAAGGAACAATAATAAAATAGATATAAAATGGTGAAGTTTCGTTTAAAGTGCTTTTGTTAATGTAGCGTAAAATATATGTTCTTCAAGCGGTGCTTTAGCTTTATCGAAATCAGGCTTTCAACGTAATTCGCAAAGAAAATTATTTAATCGGCACAGCGTACGATGACGAATGACACCAGTGCCGCAATATCATGAGAAATATTCTCGAGAGCTTCAGAGAAGGAAAGATCTCGTGAGCCAGTAGAGGAGCTGAGTCTCCCGGGTTGGGGGTGGGGTCGGCGGCGGTGTGGTGATATCGAGAGAAAGAGCGAGAGTGGCCACCAGGCGGGGGGAGGGGGGATGGGATAACCCTGTGATTACCTGTGGTAGCGGGTAAGTATCCGGAAGCGAGAGAACCGGCGGCGAGCTCGGGGCCTCGAGGTCGGGTTGGGCCGTGGCTGTGGCCAGGCCGGGTGCGACGCTGGACTCCAATGTTCCGCCGAGGCTCGGGTCCGAGTTGCCGAGACCGAGGGCGCCCGTGAGTGCGCTCGCGGCCGTGGACCCGGTTATTTTCGTCGGCGCCCTCGCGCTCGGGAGTTCCTTCGCGGCCCTGTGCTCGGCGAGCAGTTTGTCGAAGGTCTTGCTCCTGCCGGCGACGGTTCGACGCAGCGAGACCGTATGGGCCTTGCAGGTAAGAGAGCGCGTGCAAGGCTTGCCGGTCTCCTCGTTCCAGACGCCGCAGTGCCGGTCCGGGTCGTACTCCCGATCCTTGAGTAGCGAGCGCTCGGTTTTGAGCCTTTTTCGCTTGGGCTGCTGACTCCCGGGGCTTTTGACGGGGCTGCCTGAGGAGCCAAGGGTGCTCGCCAGGCCGCCGGACGATTGGACGCAGCCGAGGCCCCCGGACGGCTCGAGGGGAGATCGTGGCGAGGTGCCAGAGACGCCCGAGTGAAGGGTCGGCTGTTGCTCGATAGTCCGCTGCTTGACCGAAGTGTGATTGTTGCCGTTGCTGGTATTGCCGCCGATGCCGAGGCCAACTCCAGGACCGCTGGTACTGTTAGCGCCTCCGCTGCCGCCGCCACCCCCGCCACTGCTGCCACCGCCGCCGCCGCCGCCGCCGCCGCCGCCGCCGCCACCGCCACCGCCACTCCCGGCTGAATTACTGCCGTTGTTATTGTTGTTGTTGTTGCTATTGTTGCTGTTGCTGTTACAATTGTTGTTGGTGTTGTTGGCAGCAGCAGCGGCAGCGGCAGCGGCAGTAGCGGCGGCGGCGGCGGCGGCGGCGGCGGCGGCGGCGGCGAGCTGACCCGAGGATTGACTTTTCTTCAGTTTTGACAGTTTGCAGTAGGGTGTCTTCATAGACGGCTTCGTTGCCGAATTTGAAGGCGGTGGAAGATTCGTGCTGCCGGAAGGGTGTCGGCTTTCTGCAATATCACGTTTCATTTTACTCGTTTAATTTACGTTTACGTGGCTAACATTTGATAATTCCTTGTTTGGTAATTAAAAGCACAAACATTCATTTACTGATATCGTTAGTATCGTCAGTTACTGATCGATTCATTTATTTTTTCCATTGTCTATAATTTATTGCATTATATATTTATGATGGGATTCAGGTTTAAACATTTTTTAATAAAAAATATTCAAACTGCAAAAGTTTGAATATTTTTAAATAATATTTTCCCATTTAAAGGTGAGATTAGAAAAATATAAAACTAATAGAAATTACAAATTTTCATAGAAGTAATTGAAATAAGCAAAGCAAAACTGAACTACTATAATGTTTAAAAGTGCATATAATATATTTTTTTATTGTTAAAATGTATTGTTGACAGAGTATTGATAAAGAATGTAATTAGTTAGAAATTTATAAGACTATATGAATTTCCAGAGAAAGCCAAAGATATTTTTATGATTAAAATTTTATGAATACAAACTATTTTTAATAATATTTTTACAATTGAACTTTGAAGGGTTAAACAATTACTTTTTTTATTGTTTAAAATATCATTTAGTAAAAAATGTTTAATAATGTACAATAGTTATGTAATTTAGTTAGAATATGCTTGCCTCATTTCATTTGTGGCATTCATTTTGTTAATAAAATCTTATTGTAGAGTTCTTGATCGATTAACTATTAAATAAACAAGATAATTTTTATCTATCTAACATATTATAATGAATGAAAAATACAATGTATCTAAAATGAATATAAATGTGCATAAATTATAAGAAAAATAAATAAGCTTTGTTGAAAATGGGATAGTACGTTAATGGGGTAAGTCATGCTACAATTTGCATAAAATTCAGCTGGCGCATGTGAAACTTTCCAGACAGATTTTATATCGAAGTACCTTGGATACCCCATTTTTTATTGAAAGTTAGCATTCAGTAAAGATATTAGATGAAAAGTAAAAACTGCAGAATAATTACTTTGTACATAGATATATCAATAATTTACAAAACTGCATTAAAAATTTCACAATTTTTTACTAAGAAAAATAAAGTAATAGTTAATAGGTTATTAATCATCATATTATACATAAAAGCATTAAATATCTAAAGAATTTTTTAATAAAATTAATTAACGTACCCATGTGCTGTATTAAAGCTTGCGGTTTGACAATAGAATTGCATATTTCACATACAACTCCATAAAAAGTATCCCTTTCGGGGCAAAATCCATATAAGTCAATATCTGAAAAGTATAGTAAATATGATTTAGTAGTCTATAATAAAGCTTATAAAGTAAATAATAAATTATCGTCAACTTTATAAAGTAAAGTAATATTATAATTTTTATTGATAAAAGCAATTTACCATCAACGGAAAGACGCATAACTGAACTTGCAGGCTCTGTGTCTGGTTCATCATCACCTAAAATTTCACGTTAATTATTTCATTTATAAGCCGTAATAATATTTTTATCAATTAAAATGGAATCGACTTACTACTGTAATGAGTAATATGATGTTATATAGTGATTAAAAAAAGTTTAATATTTCATGTTTACTGTTGATTTATACAATATGAAAACATGTGACTGGAAATTTATATGAAAAAATGAATTTGATAAGAAGAAAGCATTGATGAAAAAATTTAATCTATTTTATAACCGAATGATTTACATATGTATAAAGAAAATAATTGGAAAAATCATCTAACAGTAGAAACAATGCTAATTAATTTAAAATTAAAAGAAGACAAATAGATGCAAACATGGAAAATGTGGTGAAGAAAAAAAAATGGAATAATGAGGTCGCATGTGTAATTTGCATTGGAATCGAAATAATCGTTTTGTATAAAATCGTTCGTCCGTGATATAAAAAAAATTGTATACGGAACTCTCAACTTCGGTTACACTTAACCATCATTCATAATGTGTATGCGTGTGTGTGTGTTTGTGTGCGTGTATACGCATCTGAGAAACGACCTATAAACCATTCCTCCCTCAAGCTCCCTCTCGCTCTACGTCGCATATACATGCATCATACTTATGTACACGCGCATGCATACATATGCGCATTGTCATTTATATATATATATATAGACTGATATGGGCATGTACGTGAGTATATCTACATATGTACGATGATGAATATAAGGGGTGTGCTCCCATCATTTGCACACTCATTTTTATAGATACACGTGAGATAAGAGAGCGTTGGGTTGGGATGAGATGGGATGGGATGGGATGGGATGGGAAGGGGTAGGGTGGGGTAGGGTGAGGTGGGATGTGGTGCTACTCGATGAAGCGAGGCAAGGCGAAGCGCGGCGAGGAGAAGCGCGGCGAGGGAGGCAAAGCTAGACGAGGAAGGCGAGGCGAGGTACGATACGATATTATGAGATATGATGGGGTATGACGAGGTATGACGAGGTATAATAAGGTATGGTAAAGTAAGACGAGGTATGCTGAGGTACGGTAAGGTACGATGAGGTACGGTGAGGTAAGGTGCGGTGCGGAGTGGTGGGGTGTGGTATGGTGTGGTAGGGTACGGTGAGATGAGGTGAGGTGGAGGAAATGGAAGGCCGGGAACAAGAGAGCGATAGAGATAGATAGATAGAGAGAGAGAGAGAGAGAGAGAGAGAGCGAGAGAGCGAAAGAGAGGGAAGAAAGGCTCGAAGCTGGTTTGTGGAGGTTATGTTATCACCGTATGCCAAAAATTGCACAGGAGCCGCTCGATTATAAAGTAGGTGGAATGTCCACGTAAGGGGCGACTTACTCAAGGGTTTGTCACGGCCAATTTTCTCGATCCAGCTAGACCAGGGCTGGCCGTGAAAGAAGGTTGGGCTGTCACTTCCCGACATTGCCAGCAAGCGCGCACACTCAAGGTTTTGCGGGGAGAGACACGAACGGCTGCAGCGTCCCGTAGCCGTTGTCCGTCTCGCACTCTCGCCGCTTACGACTCACGACCTGCTCACCACTTCTTTCTCGTTGTACCTACTGCATGCGCCCTCCTCCCTTCACTATATGCACATTCATGTATAACGCTTTCGCATAATTTGCATACAACTCTCGGACTTAGACTGCGTCCATGCGCGTATTTTCGCGACTCCCGTTTCTATCACATTCGCATGGCTGTGGCGGCCAACTGCGCTTGGCTCGCGCTCGCGGTCTCGCTCTCTCCCTTCCTCCCTCACGATCAAACTCTCCCTCTTTCTCCCACTCTCAGTCTTTCTCACTCTCTCTCTCTCTCTCTCTCTCTCTCTCTCCCTCACTCCCACTCTCCTATACACTGTCACTCTCTCTCTCTCTCTCTCTCTCTCTCTCTCTCTATCTTCCTCTTACTCACTCACCCTCGCCCTCGCCCTCACTATTCCAAGCGAAAGAACAAGAAATTGCACCGGCTCCTTCAGATATTCTCTGCATATGCACACGTACACGCCAGCGCCCATATGTGCCCATATGCCATGCATGCACTGCATACTGATGCATACGTGTGCGTAAGTAACTCACACATTATATTATATGTCAATAGGCACGTATATATGAAATATTGGCGCATACATTTGCTGGCGCGTGTCCGTATGTGTATGTGGGGTGGATGGCTGGGTGGGGATGGGTGGATACAATTGTAAGTGATTGTGTGCTTGATTCTTTTCAATAATTTCCGTAGTTTTGCACATTTCCTATATTTATTGATGCGTGGTTGAAATAAATTATCATTTAAAAAAACGGCTATTCGTTTTATTTTAATTGTCAACAAAAATAATTTGTCATGCACTCTTTACTTTCTTTATCTTTCCTACCCCCCGTACCGCCCCCGTGTGACCGAATGTTTCGATACGAGTAAACAGTATTAGAATATTATTACATTTTGCATAGATAAACTTTGCAATATTTACCTTAAAAACTAAATATACAATTGAGTATAACCTGGAGTCAAAAGTATTATTGATTTCGCATTTCGAAAGTTTGGTTAATAGTTATATTTATTAGTCCGATGAATTAGCGAATTACAAGGCAATTTGTGTATATTATCATCATAAATAGGAAATAGTTAATCTGTTTTAAAACATAAATTAACATATAATTATATACATACAGCGTCAATAATTAAAATTCACGTTATGCGCATGCGCAAACAATCAAATATAAACAAATAGAAGCTTAATTATTATCTAATTAAAGAAAAATGAAATAAAGATTTCCTATTGCCTTTAGGATTAAGACTATTTTAGTCTTTCAGACATTTGTAAATATTTTTAAAGGTTTCTTTATATTATATACGTACTTCTTAACTTTTCTTCAATCCCATGATTTTTTGCTTTGAAAAGCAATTGAAAATTGAAAAAAAAAAAAACGAAAATCTAAAACAATTAAAAAATAATAAAATATAAAAATTTAAATATAAGGAAATATTTTATTCGTCATTGGCTATTTTATTACAATATAAATATTTCCATTTTTAATAAGATTATCTTATAAGAGCAACTAATAATATTAGATTTTGGTTAAAAAGTAAAATATATTAGTTGAAAGAATAAATCATGAATTTGAATAAATAAGTATTTTTTTACATAATTTTTGTATACCCTTAATATTGCAATTAACGGTAATAATAAATTAAAGTGTCACACAGAATGTCAACAACGAAAAAGAATAAAATTATAATGAAACTGGAAAGGTGCAGTTTGTATATCAATACATAATTAAAACTAAATAAACAGAATGTATTTAATAAGCATTGTTTTTTTTTTTTTTTTTATTAAAATATAAATAAATTTCATATTCATTTTAATATAAACTGGGGCGCGAAAATTTGAACGATTCTGTTATGTAGTTATTTGTATTTCGTATATATTGCAGCTTTCCCAAAGCTAAGAAAAAAAAAACAGAAATAAGACCTATAAGGAATAAAAAATAAAAATTAAGTTATGATTTTTTAATCATTGCTGTATTTTTTCAACAATGGAAAGATGCAATGCCAAGCTTCGTAGATAAAATGTATTGGTGGTTTTAAACAATCGGTGTTAAAAGTTAAGCGCGAGTGAATAATATAAGACATTTTCACATAAAATGTTTTTCATATTAGATGTTTCATTATAAAAAGTTTAATTCTTATAAAAATGTTTAATGTTATGAAAAAATTGCTAGACAAAAACCAAATTCTACTTTTAAATCTTAATCACACAATATTTTCTATAGTTACTTATTTTATACAGCTTGTTTATTTACCGTCATACTTTAAAAATAGTTTTAATCAAGATTAACAATAATCTATATTTGTTATTTATTTAACTTTATCAATTAGACTTCAAAAAATAATATGATCAATTGAGAATATTTCCTTTAATTTGATTTTTTCCCTTCAAACGATGTAACGCCAATATTGCATTATACACCCTTTCAAAGTACATATCTTTAGAAATTATAAATATTTCACGTAATTTTCGTTAATTTCTATCATTGATTCTATTCCTTTATTAATTTGTTTATTTATATGCAATTGTTAATCAATTATATGAGTGAACTTGAGTCTAAGACGACTATTTTTGAAAAAAATGTTACAAGTAAATTTTCAAAAATTTTAAAGTAAGCTTATGATTATTCTTTTGACAATTTAAACATATTTATATGCGATCATCACATCATTGCTTAATTTTAATTGTTATCTATAATTTCTTACTTATATGCATTAATATTTTGATCATACGAAATATTCGAAGTCGTAAGATATTTATAGATTTTATCGAGTAAAAACCATAATGTATAAATAATAAATAAAATATGCAAATATGGAATAACTCCAATTACAATATACGTCATTGAAAAGGCTAATTTTCAAAACAAAGTATAATATTCACGATGTTATTATTTATTTTTAAACAATTTGTTCTCTTTATCATATTACAAATATAATGATTTTTATTTCCATAAATAATAAAGCAGTAAGTAATTTATTCGTATATACTAAATTTGGATATTTCTATCAACAATGAGTTATGGAATTTCTTACAAGAATTTTATTTTAAATAATACAATTATGTTTCTAAACAACCTTAAATATCAAATTATTCAAAGTATTTTAAGCCATATAATTTAAATGCGCTTATAGCTATTATCATTAACAGTTAAATATTAATTAAATATAATTTTTAATATTAAAACTGAAGAAATACTATTGTATTAAATATATAATAAGTCTCAAATCGAGATTTATTGAAAAAAAAAAAAAAATAAATAAATAAATAACAATGTTTTATCGTTCATATTTGAATAAACACTTTTTGAATCAAAGAACCTGATATGGCAATTAATAATCCATAATAAAAGATTAATAATTATCATGGTCATCAGATATTGGATTACAAATAAATTTTTAAATTGAAAAAAAAGAACTGTACATTTAAATAATGTTTGCGTAAAATGACACATGAAAATAGGAAAATTTATGAAAATAAAACATCGCAATTAACAATTTGAATGTGAATGAATTTTTTACTTTCTAATGTTATCTCGATATTTTATTAAATTACAATTACTTTGCATTTAGTTAATAAAATATTATATCACATTTATATTATGGATTTAGTATCATCATAAGTTTTATTATTGGTACACAAAGGGTACCAATAATTAGTGATAAGTTCACTTTTAACGCTCTATTCCTTAATTCTTATAATTTGTTCTTTATTCCATTACCTTATCGAATATCCATATGCCCATTTCTACTCCAAAGGTAAAAGTGAAAATCCAACAACGTGTTCGTGATTCCATAACGCAAAATTGACGTTTTGATAAAATATTTGTAAATAAATATTATTTTTTATTGTTATTATTATTGTTTATTATTATAATGAATATATATATATATATATATATATATATATAGATTGTAAGCTTTAATGTAAGATATTACAAAGTGTCTCGCGTACTATTTAACGATACATTGCTGCCTTTGCGTATTTAAGATATTAACTTATTCGCTTATTTTCAGAATTATTATGGAATTATTGTTTTAAAAGAAAAGGAAAAGAAAAGAAAAAGAAAAGTTCAAAATGAAGCTGAATAATTTAGTGCTTAATCCTTTGAAACGTGTTAAACAAAAAAGAATAAAGGATGAAAACGATGAAGGAACGTCCCAAGAGGTTATATTGCCTCGTGAAACTGGTATCAATCACATAAAATGTAAAGCCATTAGGCTAAAAAAGAATGAGGAACTACAAAGGGAAAAGAAAAAAATCAAAAAGTTGAGGAGAAAAGCAAGAATAGAAGCAAATGAGCCGAAACAAGTTCCGCATACAATAGAAAGTTTAAGGGAAAAAGATGAGACTATGATCTATGGAGATATCAATAGTGAAGAAAATGAAGAAGTTAGAATTGATATGGAACATGATGAATTTGCTGCCTATTATAGGCAGGAATATGAGCCTAAGGTTTTAATTACTTATTCGGACAATCCTCATACAAAGACGAGAATATTTGGAAGAGAGTTGACTAGAATCATACCAAATTCAACGTCGTTATATAGAAATCGTTCCGGAATAAAAAAAATAGTTAAAAGTTGTGTACAGAAAAATTTTACAGATATAATTGTTATCAATGAAAATCAGTGTAAACCAAGTATCCTTTTTAAACAGAAATTTCAATCAATTTGTTATAATAGGTATTAATTATTTTGCAATACACATTGACTATCTTTCACCTTCAAAATTAGAAGAAAAATTTTATCTTTATTAAATTTTTATTTAATTTTTCAACAATAACTTAACTTTTCATATTATAAATGTTATTTAAGATTAGAAAAATTATATTACAAAAGTTTAAGATTATATTTTTGATAATTGAAATTTATTTCAATTTATATCAATGACCATTAAGTTAATATCAAAGTTAACATTTTCCTTAATATATGTCAAGATGGTATGTTAATAATTCATTTGCCCGATGGTCCTACAATAAACTGCAAATTAAGCAATGTAAAAATTACTCCTGAATTAAGACGAAGTCACAAAGAAATAACCGAACATCGTCCAGAAGTTATATTAAATAATTTTACAACTCGACTGGGCCACACGGTCTCAAGAATGTTTGGAGCTCTCTTTCACTACCAGCCTGAATTTAAAGGACGAAGAGTTGTAACATTTCATAATCAACGTGATTATATTTTTTTCAGACATCATAGGTATATTCGATATAAATTTGTTTTTAATGCAATGAAATTTTTATGAAACAAATATGTCGACCATTTATCGATGAACAATTTCAAATTTCGAATCTAAATTATAAGTTAATTGTTTAGAAAAAGCATTCTTAAACGTTATGTTAGAATTTATTACATAAGTATTACAATGTGAATATGGAAAATATTAATTTTTTATGTTAAAGATTACAATTAGAATTGCCGTTGTCATCTTAATGTTGGAGATTAAATTTGTTAATCTATTATACCGCATTCCTTTTCTCTTGAATTCATATTAAGTATAAAGTTATTAACAATAATTTTAATAACAATGTTATTAATTTTAGATATGAATTTAACAAGAAAACAGGTAAGCCAAGATTACGAGAATTGGGACCAAGATTTACCTTAAAGTTAAGGTATTTGCAACATGGAACATTTGATAGTAAATATGGTGATTACGAATGGACTATTCAAGGTAGACGACATCAAATGGAAACTAGTCGAAGAAAATTTTTCCTTTAAATTAATATTATCAAAGTTTTTTTAAAATTTATGAAAAGGATTGGTTGTAATTAAATATGTTTCTGCGAAATATTTATAAAATTTATAAAGCCATAAGATATGTAGTTTGTTGAATTTTGTAGTATCATTTTTATATAAGTTATAAATGTAATTCTTATTAATGTAATACTGTTTTTTAATTTGTTATTACAACTAGTTAAGCTATACAATGTTTTTATATATTGCTAAATCATCTACTTATATTTAAACTATTTTTAGTCTTACTTTTATTTACGTGGAAATCGCGAAACAGATATTTTAATAAGATGTGCAACGATATGCATTCGTAATATTTTTTTCTTAAGTCGTTATTATAGTGTATTTAGGGATATCAGAAAAAATGAGGAAAAATCATATATTGGAAATAATTAAAATGTAAATGTTATTGAATCATTCAAATGACTATAGGAAAATTTGATAGGAAATCGTGTATTTAAATTATGTATTTGACATATTTAATTTTTTTGCTTTTAAGTTAATGTATTTAAATTATAATATCTCATTTGATTCAAATTTTTTTTTCAAGTAGGCACTGATAATAAAATAATTGTACTATTTCTTCCTAAATAAATTTTAAAAATTTCAATACTCTACAGTATCATGTAAATTTATAAAATAATATTTTTCAAAATTGAATTCATCAATGTATTTGTTTTTCTGTTACATTATTTTATATATTTTTAAAATATGTTTGTACATACGCGCGCACGCACACGCATATATATATATATATATATATATACATTGTATTTTTCACGAATATTTTACAGTATATTTGTTAAATTATAATTATTATGATATTGAAAATTGCTTTTCATTTTACCGAACTTATTGGACTTTATAAATTCACGGCTTAGTTTCATTTCAGGACTTTAAAATATAATAAACATTTCAAACAGTTATATAGCGCTGGATGTTTATATTTGTTTATCAAAGAATCGTAGTGGAAACAAGAAATTAATTTGCCTCCAATTTTGAGAAATATGTGGCGAGAAAGTAAAAGTAATTTTATTATATCTCTCGAATCAGTATTGTATTCTCGATCTCGTGTCTCTTTAATTATACGTAAGTAGCGCGAAAGGAAAAGCACGCGATTGGATTGGGAACAATGGCGTTTTACAACGCTCCTTCAGCATGTGATTTACGAGTATGGAATACATTGGATTGCCAATGTGGCTCGTGCACTTTATCTCCTGTGCTTTTCGCGGATTTGCATATTGCGTGTAAGCGAGCCCTTCGTTGCGCTCCGGTTGCAAGTTTTTTTTTGTTTTAATTTTTTGTTTTACCTTTTTACTTTTTTTAGGGAAGCCAACTCAATTCTTCCCCTGATGTAATTAGTGGGATATGCGCCACCTTTTCCACCATATAATGCTAAATCATAGATTCTCTTTAATCTGCAGTGAAATTAGTTAGGCAGGCGAATGAAAAAAGTAGCACTTTAAAGTTTAAATAATGCATACATAATGTATATGGTAAGAAAGATTTTTTGGTTTTTTTTTTTGTTTTTTTTTTTTTTTTTAAGCTTAATTCCAGAATGAATAAAATATCGAATGGATAAAACAAAAGATTTCAGACTAAAAACTGAGTAGATAAAGAATAAGATATTTGCTCTCTCTTTGAGTTACATGCGATAAAATATAATTTTTAAAAATTGAGCGGATTTTGTAATCGTGTATGACAAAATTAGTTCAATACAGATTCAACAATTAGTTATACCTAATTGTTCTTGTTTAACGTAATTGTTGTTAAAGTATTTATCTTTTGTTTTTTTTGTTTTTTTTTTTTTGTTTTTTTTTGTTTTTTATTTATAATCTCAGTGTAAAGCTAGAGATTTGTTAATATTGCAAATATAAATGCAAAATTTCTGTCAGTCTATCTTTAGAGAAAAGTCTATCTTTAGCTGAAGTCTTTGATTTTTCATTGTCCGTGTTAAACGCTATTTTACATGATAAGCAATACTCATGTAATTAAATCATCTTTAATCGAGTGAACTTTCGCACGTACGCGATTCAGTGATAGCGGAGTAATGTTGTATTAGCAAATTTTGAATTTTAATATTCATATCTTTCAGTGCAGAGAGTATTTAAATTAAATAAAAATTGAAATTTAATAAAAATCCATATATTGTCGAGGAGTTGTATGATAAAATTGACTAAACTCCTTTGAATCAGATCATTTAGATGATAAATTTATAACTAAATGTTACTGTAAAATGGTTTTCAGTCATAAATAATTGTTTTATTTATTTTATTTATTTATTTATTTATTTTTTTTTATTACCTTCGTCAATTTTCGTAAGCGTATGTCTCTAATACAACATTGCAAACAATTGCTCTAAGATTAATATACAAGCTCGGCTCTTAATTAATTATAAATGATAGAATCAATTATCAGTTAAATAATTAAAGTCAATGAAAGATTAATCGTCGCGGAGCGTGCAAACGTAAGTTAGGGGATGCATCAGGACTCCATTAATTATTGAATTTAGTATAAAGATCTCAAAACAAGCAATCGTCATTTAACAAGCTGCCGTATAATTAACGTAATAATTAACGCGGGCAGCGGTAAGCCATAAATCGATAATAATTTAAGCTCTAGGTTGGATAGGTGAGCGACAGGGCTTAGACGAGTAAGGAAAATGTGGCCGAGTTGCATTAACATGAGCTATCGTTGTTAATATCCCGTAAAAGTCGAGGAACGCGCGCAACGATTGTACGCATAAAACACGACCTTGGTACATTTGTACATTCTATGGCTACGGGATCATTCGAGCCTCTGATGAAATCTCTGGCTTTGCAACTCGACACTAGCGATTGATCGATTCCGTCGATATCTAATTAAAGCGTATCGTCTTAATAGGCGCCCTATCAAACGGCCGGGATTACATAATTTCGAGGCCGCAGATATTCAGCGGGGATCAATCGATGGTACCCGTCGGGTGGGGATTGGGGGGATTGGGGGAGGGGTATAGGGAGTGTACGTCGAGACAAGTGGCGCGCGAGAGGTGTAGGAGGAGCCCATAGGTGACAGCGGCTTCCGGATCGATACGCGCGAGAAATTAGGTGTATACATCGGAGACGCGGTCGCGACGTCGAGGCCGACGACCAGACGACAGTTTCGCAGGAGGACGAAGCACCACGGGGATACACACAACTTTCCAACTATTCTCTTAACTCAAAGTGCTTGCGAGAAGCGGATATTATTGCTTCGAGTGTATGAAAGGTACTTTACCTCGACCCTTTCAGCGCTCTCTTCATTTAACGCCCGCTGTGTTGGTGGGATTCGTTGGAGTAGAATTTCCGGTCGGGGAATAGAGGTTGGAGAAGTAGAATCGATTCGGCAAGAGTTGATTTGCATTTAGCTTGCAAACGAATTGGCCATCGTCTTATTTTAGCCTTTTAAGGAATAAACTAAGAGCCGAATTAGAGAGCATTACGAATGGACGGGGATATCCCATCTCTTTTATAATGTCCTGCGACATTCCCTACATCGAATTGATTTTCATATTTTCTATCGCTTTCTCTTCCACATTGATCAGCGCAGGAGATTATTAAACGGACTTTTATCAGATAATGTGATTTATTAATCAATTTAATTACAATGCAAATCCTAGTTTGTAAAAAATCATTGGCCACTCGAGTTCGTCCGCGCGCACATGAATTTCACAACGATTTCATGTTAAAAAGCCACCAGGACTTTTTCTACGCAATATTGGTTGGTAGGACGCTCGAATAGTGTGAATCACAGTGCTTTGCAACTCTCGTATCGAGCTGCTTTAGTGCGCAGGTTCGGCTAGTGTCGTGTAATTATTTGATTAACAAAAACTAAAGGAAAAGGAAAAAAAATTATAATGTAGTGGGAGGAGGGACACAAAATACCAAAATAACGATAATAGCGTTAATTTACGTCTCGAGTATACAAGATAATAATTTTCTTTTTCGTTAAAATCGTAGTAAAGGCCAAATTGTATTGTAATTTATAAATATATCACGAGTATTACACGCCTCCTTTCTCTATCGATCAAATCATCAGGGTCATTCTCTCTCTCTCTCTCTCTCTCGTAAAAAAAAAAAAAAAAAAAAAAGCATCGCAATTTCAATTATCTTCATATCGATCATATATAAATTAATTCGTAGCCCCAACAGCGGAATTAATTAAATCCGTTCACACAAAGCTGAAAATTCCACGACGTGTAGCCGATAGCATGAAAACCTTGGGGGCATAATCACACAAAAGGAAACTGACCCCGTAAGCGAAGTGCACTACCCGCGCATTCGTAGATGTAAATGTGTTTGCACAGAAGCGCTCGGACGCGCGCGCTCGTTGTTACATTTCAAGAAATCTACGGGACTTTATTAGCGTCGATTTAAACAAGTTGTAACAATGCTAATTGCGCGTGATCCAACGCCCCGTTAATTGGCCTACCCCACCATCATTATGAGAGTACTAGAACATTTTTTAACGATAGGTCTTTCACGCCAGATTTTTCACGCTCTAATGAACCGCGGACAGAGCGATTTTCGCAACACGCATACACTCCCCCACCAATATCTACAAATTATACGAATCGTAATATGCTTTCTTCGGTCTGCATTGATCGAATAGTTCGATTATTATTCTTCCAACGATATATTATTGGTATCAAGAGACAAGAATTTTCTCGTTTAAAACCTATCGCAATTCTTCTCTTCCCGAGCTTACCACCATTTCCTACTTCACTTCAAGACGCATTCCTACTTAGTCGCACAATAAGCAGTGGATCGATTCAAACCCCAATTCCTCCACATTCTCATGACTTGGAACTTGGAAGTCGCGAGCTTCAAAAGTGGCTGTAAAAAAAAAGAGAAAGAAAAAAAAGAAAAGAAAATGTAAGGAGCGCGTTGTAATGCATTCTAAGTACCCGCCTCCAGCTATCCATTGTCGTCGTCATTGCAGTATGGAAGCAGGTCGCGCGCGCGGCCAATAATGCAATTGTCGCTAGCTCATATAATCA